CCGAGCAGCTTCCAGCCAGGCCGCATGCTGGGGAGGAGTCTCTTGGGTGCCATGTAAACCTGGAACTTCTAATTCTCATAAAACCCACTTGGATCACAAGCCAGGCTTCGGCGTTTGAATTCTTTCTCGCGCGGAGCCAAGGACCGAGGTATATCTAGCTACAGAGAGATCTAACAGTAGCAGGCTCTTCAGATGAGTACCTAGCTCATTGGGTGTCTGTACCAGCACCTACAGAACAGTGACAGGAAACTGAACAGCCATGAGCCCCTAACGTCGCTCCAGGCTCTGCCCAGCCACATAGCCGTGGTCTCACGATATTAAAACAGAGCCAAGAGATCCTGACAGGTCAGGGGAACGTATCAGAGGTAACCAGACAGAGTAAACACAACGGCTTCCCCCACACACGTGGACATCATGTCTCTTAGATACAAAGTAATTGTGCTGCCAGCTTTATAATGGTCAGTACATATTAAATCAGTATGACATTGTTATGACATTGTTAGTCATAATAAATGCCTGTGTTACTGGCTTATGTGTGTACTGTGTTATACTTGCTATCTTGATTTTAATGTGAACGTTTCCTACGTACAGGTCATTTGCTTGGGTAGCAGCGTAGGTATGCTTGCCTTATAAGCAGCACCCAGTTTCATGCATCACATGTTTCTTGAGTGTCGTAGCATTCGGTCTCCCTCCATGTAATTGTCTATGGAAAGCATCACCGTGAAGTGGTGCATCCTGGTTCCCAACTGGAACAAAACCTGTGCAAGTGAGAACGGCACCCGAGGCAAAGGGGCAACATCTGCCTAAGGCAAAGGGGCAACCAGGGTCTGAAACAGCCCAAAGGTGGACAGTCAGCATGGAGTCGTCTTTACGCAATCATATACATCATATTTGCCTTAAGAAATGGCTCTTGCTACTCTGGTGTAGCAGCGACGAGAGCAGCAAGTCACTGGGTCATGTTTAGGGAAAGATCTTTGCATTTGACTCGTTTGTTGCATGTCCTACAGACCATGTAAGATCAACAGCTATTAAGGAATTGTTGGGTCATTGAAATTCTAAGAATTCTTTGAAGGGCAGCAGTATGAAGGACCATAGCTGGATATTTGGGTATTTGTTAAGATAGCGTAAGATTTTTCTAAGACAGTCATCCTAGCTGATTGGCCGAACCAGTGAATTTTCTGCTTACCTTAAAAATAGATTGTGTAAGGTTTTTACTCAAACCTTTTCGCATTCCCTTGGAAAAGAAAACGTGGTTCACTTATGCATTCATGCAGCAAGTATTTCCTGACCGCTTCCTCGGCGTTGTGCTAGGAAAGCCTCCCAGACAGGTCATCCCAGTCCTCAGAGAGCAAGTGGGGGCGACCCTGTTCACGCCGCGTATTCATATCCCGGCAGAAATGCAGGCGAGTTTGACAGCATAGATGAAAATAACATTTTTTTTCCATCCCTATAGATTTCGGTTTTGGGAATTTCTTTGAACACGGTGAGCTGCTGGCAACGTGGTGTGGCAGCCCTCCCTACGCAGCCCCAGAAGTCTTTGAAGGGCAGCAGTATGAAGGACCACAGCTGGATATTTGGGTATTTCTTTGCTCGGCTGTGTTAAGTGCTCCCATAGTGGTAATCCTTAGGACAGGCACCTAACTTAGAAGCTCTTCGTTACCCAACACGTGGGCAGTATTTTGTATTTTCCCCATCCATTGGATCATAATGAACATATCTTGAGTTGGATCTGTAGAGGCAAATGTTACCATTCTAGCATCTGTACTAATTTTAACTTTATGGTAATCACAATGACTAAATGCAGATCTTTTGTTGATTATTATAAGGCAACTTATTGCAAAAATCAGGGTCTCTAATTTTTTCAAATTCTGAGAAAACATTAATTAAACTCAAACAGGACTTTTTCTGCGTATATGATTTTAAGAGTTCTGTTTGGGAAAGCAAAGCGTATTCCGAGTTCCTCGTAGACCTGACTCCGCTGTTCCCTCCCCTAGAGCATGGGAGTTGTTCTGTACGTCCTTGTCTGCGGGGCTCTGCCTTTTGATGGGCCTACTCTTCCCATTTTGAGGCAGAGAGTTCTAGAAGGAAGATTCCGGATTCCATATTTCATGTCGGAAGGTAAGTTGATTTTCTTGCTAATTGTGATACACAGAACCTGAACTCTGGACGAGAGGCCCTAGGCCAAAGCATCCCATTTCCAAAACGCTTGGGGCCATCAAAGGGCTGCCTGACTTTACCAGCCGTAGAAATGCACAGCCCCCTCCGTGTAGGTGGGACACCCTCCAGCCCCCCTGCTCGTAACTGCAAACAGAAGCACTTTCCCAAATGAGGAGCAGCCAGCCTTCCTGTTCACTCTGGGTCTGTCAATGGCCCCGGCTTATTTTAGACTTAGAGAAGCACATCATAGGTACAGAGTCACAGCCCTTTCAGTATGGGAGGAACCCTGGTGGCGTAGTGAGGAATATGTTGGGCTGCTAACTGCAAGGTCAGCAGTTTGAAACCACAAGCTGTACCACAGGGGAAAGATGAGACTTTCTGCTCCTGTAAAGAGTTACAACTCAGAAAAGCCAGTGCACCATTTAAGGCTGTGGCACCTCCCCAAGTTACAGCTCCTGCCCGTGCCTCAGTTTATTCATCTGTGAGAGGAACTAGCAATAGTTCCTGCAGTGGGGTTTGGGAGAACATGAAAAGGGGTACTCTACAAGCATGTTAACATGGTGCATGTGGGGGCTTGGCAGAGGTGGAGGTGGTGAGGCAGGCAAGTGCTGAGAGCCCAGAAATTAAGCTGGCACCCAGGTGCCAAAGTGCCGTTTCCCCAGTGCAGTCAGAAGTGGGCACTGCCCCCTGAGTGGTGCTACGGGAGAGGTCAGAGCGCTGCACACTCCCAGGCTGAGTGCGGCAACCTTGGATGGGACTGTGGAGTAGTTCATTATCGGCGTATTCTAGGAATGAGGCCGGTTTTATTTGTTCCCTATCGTGAAAATATGAGTCTGCATCCAGGCAGTAGTGTTAATTAGTAATTCTGCCCATTGAGTTGAGAAACTCAATAGGAAGACTCATTTTGAATGACTTGGCTAGGTCTACACCCTCTGCTTTTCTGTCAGTAACTCATTCCTCATGGGAACTCGGCATCTAGAGCAACGGTTCTCAACCGCTGGGTCGCGACCCCTTTGGGGGTTGAACAACCCTTTCACGTGTGTCGCCCAATTCATAACAGTAGCAAAATGACAGTTATGAAGTAGCAATGAAAATAATTTTATGGTTGGGGGTCACCACTACCTGAGGAACTGTATTAAAGGGTCGCGGCAATAGGAAGGTTGAGAACCACTGCTCTAGAGGAAGCCTTCGAACATACATGGGCCGGCTCCTGCTCCGCTCCTGCTCGGAGTCCTGAGGAGGGCACAGAGTGCCAGGAGTCGGGCAAATGCAAAGGAATCCTTTCCTTTCTTTTTAACTTTTAATTGTGAATTAGACAAGGGTCTACAGAGCACATTGTCATTGGGCATACAAAATGTACGTGACTTTTGTGACGTTGTGTCTTCCCTAGATTGTGAGCACCTCATTCGGAGGATGCTGGTCCTAGACCCAGCCAAGCGGCTAAACATAGCACAGATCAAGGAGCACAAGTGGATGCTGGTGGAAGTTCCGGTCCAGAGACCTGTTCTCTATCCACAAGGGCAAGAGAATGAGGCCTCCCTCGGGGAGTTCAACGAACAGGTTCTGCGACTGATGCACAGCCTCGGGATCGACCAGCAGAAGACCATTGAGGTAATGGGCAGGCCGGCTCTAGGGTCCTTGCCTAGACCTGTGACCCTGGCCTTGCACTGGCTCAGCCCAACCCCCTCGTTGTGCTGTTCAGTTTGCCCCCCAGACTCTGCTCGATTTTCAAAACAAAGAAGCGTAACAAATGTAAAGTAGAAAGTTTCTTCCAAGAAAAAGTCTGCAGTCTGAGCTAGGTAGCGAACTACGTAGGTTGATAGGGGCTTGACGCACAAATAGGGAAGTGGCTGATAGCCTAGCAGGAACCCCGGAGGTGGCTAGGCAGGCATCAGGTTTAAGAAAGCCAATAGTTCAAAAGATACAGCGTCTGGGGTCTTAAAGGCTTAAAGATAAACAAGCAGCCAACTAGCTCAGAAGCAACAAAGCCCACATGGAAGAAGCACATCAGCATGTGTGACCACGAGCTGTCGAAGGGATCGTGTGTCAGGCACCAAGGAACAAGAATTCATGTCATTGTAAAGGTGGGTGAGTGCAGAGTGGAGACTCAGAGTCCATCGGTAGGCAACTGAACACCCCCTTGCTGAGGGGTTGTGGGGAGGAGACGAGCCAATTAGGGTGAAGGGTAGCAACGATGAAACATATAACTTTCCTCTAGTTTTACATGCTCTCCCCCCCCTCACTATCATGATCCCAATTCTGCCTTGCAAATCTGGCTAGACCAGAGGATGTACATTGTACAGATAGCAACTGGAGACACAGGGAATCCAGGATAGATGACTCCTTCAGGACCAGTGGTGAGAGGGGCGATGCCTGGAGGGTGAAGGGAATGTGGGATAGAAGGGGGCAACCAATTACAAGAATCTAAGTATAGCCTCCTCCCTGGGGGATGGACAGCAGAGAAGAGGGCGGAGGGAGATGTGTAATTTATGACAAAACTATAATAATTTATGAATTATGAAGGGTTCATGAGGGAGGGGGCAGGGAGAGGGAGGGGGAAAAACGAGCACCTGATATTAAGGGCTAAAGTAGAAGGCAAATGTTTTGAGAATGAAGAGGGCAACAAATGTACTTATGTGCTTGACAACAATGGATGTATGTATGGACTGTGATAAGAATTGTACGAGTCCCCAACAAAATATTTTTTTTAAAAACATAGGTATACAACACACACACACACACACACACAAAAGAAAGCCAATAGCATTTCAGTTGTGAAGTGGGGCAAACGAGAGGGAAAGGCAAGCGGATCGGATCGCAGAGTTAAGTATTTGAGGTCAGAGGACTGAGAAGGCAAGGAACCTGGGAAATTCTGCTTGGCTTTTCTTCTGGTCCTCTAGTAGTTAGCGTTCCCAGGGGATAATGGTGTTTTTTTTAAGCACTTCCACCACGGTCGACAGGCAAACACAGGCGCCCCTAAGGAGGCAGCAACACAGCTGTGCAGAAGAAGCGAGGGGGGGCCTCCATCCAGAGTGTGCTGCCGCTTCCGCCACGGGCCAGCAGTGATGCTCTGCCCACAGCGCCAGGGTGAACCCAGGGAAGGAGAGGCGAGTGCAGGGCCTGCTGGCTTCGCTGGCTATGCCCAAGTCCGAAGGGCACCGTGCAGGCACTCGAGTGGACTGGGGACTGAACGAGCCGTGTTTCTCTGTTCCATGAGTCTCCTGGAGAAGCTGGCGGCGAGAGGGGAGAAACATTGGGAAGCAGCTTCATTTTCAAGGGGTCAGAGGGCGGGGCTGCTGCACCAAGGGGAACACGTTCCTTCAGAACAGAGACGCGGCACCTCTCTCTCGGCAGCCCCATAGCCCCGCGAGAAAGCTCGTCGAAGACCTGCAGTCACTCCCTTTGGTGCTGAGCAGTCCAGACTCGGTTGAAGCTATGGATTCGAGCCTGCTGCAGGGAGCTGCGGTGGTGTAGGGGGTTACACATCGAGCTGCCAACCGCACAGTCAGCAGTGTGGCCCCGCCAGCCACTCCACGGGAGAAAGAGGAGGCTTTCTACTCCTGTACAGACTTGCAGTCTCAGAAGCTGAGAGGCAGTTCTACTCTGTCCTGGAGGAGCAGCGTGAGTCAGAATAGGCCCGACAGCAGTGAGTCTGGTTTTTAGAGAGCTTTTGGCTCCGGCTGCTAACCCTACATCATCCTGACAGCTGTGAGGTGTATGTTGGGGAATGTCCAGGACAAACAATGGACAATGGACAATTCCCCACATGACTGTTGTTAGGGAATGTCCACGGAAGATAATGAGGGCATTTTCTCTGGGCACTCAAGCATCAATGGGTGTTTAAGGTACCGCCTTTGATTTCATCAGTAGGAGAGCGTTGGCATGCTCTCTGTTCGAGCTGCCCTCCCTCTCGTTTCGGGAGCTGTAGCTCCTTGGGCTGGGTGGTCACTCACTGTGCTCCCCTCCATGCAGTCTTTGCAGAACAAGAGCTATAACCACTTTGCTGCCATTTACTTCCTGCTGGTGGAGCGCCTCAAGTCCCACAGGAGCAGCTTTCCTGTGGAGCAGCGCCTGGATGCCCGTCAGCGGCGGCCCAGCACCATCGCTGAGCAAACAGTTGCCAAGGTAACGCCCCATTAGCCAGTCGCCTTATCTGTGCTTGTGCCTGTTCACAGGTTTGATGCAGTTTTTCATCTTTTGGCACACGGGGTTACGGTTGTATCCTGTATTTAAAGTTTCTGCCTCTGTTTTTCATAAGATTCTCAAGTGTTCTTTTTCCTGCCTATTTCCCCCCTCCCCCTCACAGTTATATGGTTTATTAGGAAAAGAGCAGGTTGTCATTTGGGACCCCAAACTACTCAGGATACACACAGTTCAGGACAGCTTCTCAACAGGACCAATAGGCAGGCCTCTCCCTGGCCCTGTGCTCTGCTCGGACAAGAGTCACAGAGCCCTTAGTTCTACCAGTGAGTGCTGGCGGTGTCGGCACGGCTATTTGTGTGCACTGGTAGACATGTAAAGGAGCTCCGGTGGCACTGTCAGATAAGTGCTGGACTGCTAACCATAGGATAAGTGGTTCAAACCTGCCTGCCGCTCCCCAGCAGGAAGATGAGGCTGTCTGCTCCCATAAAGGTTTACCCGGGATCAGCTGGCTGGCAGTGGGGTTTTGGGTGGTTCTAGATAATGTAATAAAATAAGCAAGTCAAATGGCATAAGTATTGGAAGATTGATTATTTACAGCTATGGCTGTACAGCTGGAAAATCTAAGATACTCAAGTAAGGAGTTTTAGAATTGGTGCCACAAACTGAAATGGCTAGGGTAAGCGAGTGCAGTCTCTTTCCTTGATTTGTGTCCATACATTGTTGTTGGGTGCCATCGGAGTCCGTCCGCTCTGACTCACAGTGACCATGTGCAGAGCACAGCAGATAGTGCCTGACCCTGGGCCATCCTCAAATGCACTGCTATGTCAGAGCCCATTGTTGCAGCTACTGTGTGTGTGTGTGTGTGTGTGTGTGTGTGTGTGTGTGTGTGTGTAGAGAGAGGAATATGTTGATCAGAAACATAACTGATAAGGGAGAAACAAAGCTAAAACTATAATAAAAAATAGGAAGATTATCTCAGTAAGTAGAGAATCCTTTCTGAGAGGGGAGACTTGGTATTATGAGATGTATAAACTCTGTGTAAGAAAGCGTTGCGATTCTGATAAAAATACCTTTGATTGAAAAGAGAGAGAGAGAGAGAGAGAGGCTGGCAGCCATGGCTTCCTTGGGATATAATCATGCCCTCTATTTATTATGATAGCAGGATCCTAGTCAACTTAGCCTGCAGGTTATTCAGTGATACCCCGGCTTGTTCCAGAAAGACTCCTTTGGTGCATTGCTGAGTGAATGCTACTGAAAAGCCAGCTCCTAAGTCCTAGCCTGTGAAGTGACTGTCACAAGAACACATGCTGCTCGTCCCCGTCATGGTGAGCCGTGTCAGCCGGGTTCAGGCGACAGTTGTCACACTCTGCTCCACGTGGTCTGGCCCGGCACGGTCTGCCATTTAGAAAGTCGCAGCTGATAGGAGGCAGGGTCGGAGACGGTTACGTCAGAATCACATTCTTGTGTGTACAGTGCCTGCAGGTCACACCTTGTCATCCCTGTGAAGGTCATGCGCCTCCTCTGTGTGGCCTGTTTCAGAATACCCGATCTCCAGAATGGTTTCTAATCGAGACCTGCACCCACTTCCTAAAAGACTCTGAACTTCTTGGGGTGTCCAACTAATCACTGGCGTATGGTTTTGCTGAGCTGACACTTGTGTTCCTCTGGAAAGTACTGAGGCCCCCACCTGTTTCTTTCTCGCCGGATTTGCAGGCGCAAACTGTGGGACTCCCTGTGACCCTGCATTCACCGAACGTGAGGCTGATGCGATCCACCCTCCTCCCTCAGGCGTCCACTGGGGAGGGCTTTTCCTTCCCAGCATCTGGCTGTCAGGCGGAAGCGGCCTTCATGGAGGAAGAGTGTGTTGACACGCCAAAGGTATGGTTGTTTGTGGGTGCAGATGTAAGTTGGGCCCCATCGTTTGCTCAGGTCACTCTGGCGTGGTGTTTATTTGGGGAGGACCCCAAGGAAAGGGTCCAGGGCTGAACCCGGACCATCCTCAGTGTGTTGGCATTACCCCCACTATAGGCGCCGGAATTACTTTTCCACAGCCCGCTTAATTCCTAATCCTTTCCCAGCCTTCCCTTCTCTTGTTAAGTTGCTAGGTCCCTCACAAGTGTGTTTTGTGTTTGAACAAATTTTATTATTTTTTTAAATCATTTTATTAGGGGCTGATACGACTCTCATCACAATCCACACATACAACAATTGTGTAAAGCGCATTTATACATTCATTGCCCATTGAACAAATTTTAATCCGGAACACAAAACAAAAATGTTTACTGTTGTGCTGAATAGAGCTTTACCCCTCTTCTGCTGCGTGCACTCCGTTGTCTGGGCACGTGTACAAAGCACACACAGTGACTCACCACTCTGGGCCGCAGCTTCATCTTGTGTGAAATGAGAACAGTACCAACGTTTGAAACTGCTGTGATGGAAATAATAATGAGTGTGAGGCTCTGGGCCGATAGTAGAAGTTAAATATCAGTTTCCTTCCTTATTAGCCTCTCTAGGTAGTAAAAAGATGGGCCGGTCACCCAAATTCTCCCTCGGAGCGTGTAATCTAGTGGAAGAGACAGCCTGGTGATGAAGAAGTTGGTAAAAGATGAAATATGACTGGTGCACTAAAATGATACAAGTCAGAGTGCTATTGGGGCTGGAAGGAGGCGCGAAGGAGTTTCTTGTCGCTCATTTCATCAGGACAGTCCCCGCGGAGCTGTCCGAGCGAGGCTCCCTTAGAAAGGGCTGGGTAGCCATCCGGTGCAGAGAGAAGCCGATGCGGGGGCTCAGGGTCCAGCAGCAGCAGCCTGGCTTGCCTCTGGCAGCATGTGCATGAAGCGGGTCATGTGAAGTCATGCGGCTAGGTTAGCTCTGAATGATGGCCAAGGAATTGAAACGTCCTTCCCCACGCTGGTGTTCCCGTTGTGTGGGCATGTTCCAGCTTCTGAAGACTGCGCCCAAGCAGATTTCCCCAAAGGAGTAGGGAAATTGCGGACTTTCTAGCAGGACAGCACGGCGGTCTCCAGTGCTCCTGAGGGGCCAGTCTAAAAAGGGCACGCCACATGGCTCGCTGGGGAAAGACTGGAGATGAGGCAAACTGAAGGGGGTTGGTGCCCTTGTGTCCAGGAGGGCAGGATGAGCGTCTGAACCAGGCGTGGTCATGAAGCTGGGGAGAAGGGGGTCCCTGCCTCCAGAGGGGCTGTGCGGGTAAAATTGAAGACTCTGGAGGTTTCGAGCCTGGATGATCAGGGGTGCGGTGCCATGTTCAGAAATGGGCAGCCCCGAAGGAAGAGCCAATTCGAGCAATTAGGGATGAGCCCAGCTAACCCCGAGCCAGCAGCTTAGCCCAGGGTGCCACGAACAGGTGCTAAGCAGAGTTGTTGGCCATGTGTGCTGACTGTTCCAGCCCGGGGGCTAAGCCCACCCTGCCCACTTCCCGTGGGCTCTGCCTGTGGTTGCCTGACACGCCCAGGACCCTCCCAAATGGGCATTGTGTTCTCACATAGAAATCCGGGCACCCACTGGGACCACACAAGTCACTGATTTTGAAGAGGCAAGAATTCTCTCGGTCAGGGCACCGGGCCTGAGCCCCATCGGGCTATGCCTGCCATAGTATATAGGGCGAGCTATTTTTAAAGCTGGTGCTTGTTGCTGTAACTAGGAGACAGACGGGAAATTAATGATTGTGCAAAAGATACGGCAGTAGCTGGGTGGTGTCTGCGTGTGTCAGAAGGGCTGTGCCATGCTGAGGCCGGCCAGCACACTGACAGTGTCACCCAGACCCGGAACCAGGCCATCAGCATCCGCCAGGCTTATTTGTGGGCCATTGGTTCTGTCCCAAAGAACGCAGTCTTTCCCCTCCCTAGAGCCTTTTCCTTTGGGGATCATCAGTAAATGCACAGGAAAGCCTCTCCCAGAGAGATGTGCTTCCCTGCTTCTTAAGCATTTGATACACCCATTCATTGTTTTCTAAGGAAGGCCCCTGTCGTCAATGGCAAGTGCTGCTCATCTCAGAGCAGTTTTCACTGCTCCCCCTCCCAGGAGGCCTCAGGGTTTCAAAGCTCTCAGTACAATCCCTTAGGGAGTCTGCAGACTTAGGGGTGGGGTTCCTGCAGAAAATAGCTGGATAGCTGGAACCAGGTCCTGGGGCAGTAGTGGAGGCCCTCTCAAACAGCAGAGACCATGTGAGAAAACCCTGCTGTGACCCCTGTACAGGAAAGTGCTCACTGTAATTGCTTCTTTGGGAATAAAGACTTACATACATATATTTTCAAAGCACTTTGGGCATGTTATTAGCGGTTGTGGTAGAGAGTGCGATGTTAAAAAGGATCTTGCAAGTTACCGACTGTGAGCCAAACCAGGAAAACTCGGGTGTCAGGGAGGTGTTTAAGGAGCCCTGGTGGTGTAGTGGGCTATGCGCTGGACTGCTAGCCACAAGGTCAGCAGTTCAAACCCACCAGCTGCTCCATAGGGTAAAAGATGATGCTTTCTGCTCCCATGAAGAATTACAGCTTTGGAGACCCACAGAGGCAGTTGTACTCTGTCCAGAGGACTGCTATAAATCAGCTTCGACTCCGTGGCAGCGAGTGAGAGGGCCTTACAGGTTCATTATAAAGGTAGTGTGCATGGGAGAGGGAGCTCGCAGGGGCACCTCGGCCCCAGTGTGTGTCGGCATCCACTCGACGGCAGTGCGATCCATAGCAGAAGATCTGAGAGGAGATGGACATCAAGCTCTCGCTTCTAAATCTGAGTTTTTAAAATAACGTGTACAGATTACAATAGAGAAAATAAAATAGTCTCCTTCATGCATGGCAAATTCAGAGGAGGAACAAAGGGGGGATAAGTATTCTAGTTCCTATGACCCCAAAAGAAGCACTTATTTTGTCATGAAGCCAGAGAGTGAAGTACAGCTGGAGAGATAAGGTTCAGGGGGGTTGAGGATATGGGTAGGTTTGGGGGTTTGTTTGTTTTGAAAAATGGTACCCTATTATATGTGATTTTATATATACAAATTCAGATCCGCCATGTTTCATGAGAGACATAATTGAGGAGAGAGCTGCAGAAGAGATAGCTCAAGGACATGGGAAATGGAAAGGAGCTGCAGGGGGGTTTGAGTTCTCAGGAAAAGGTTAACTTTCCTCCCAGAAGGGGCAGAGGGAGGGGACAGCCTGGCTCTGAGGCTTATACTGCAAGCTGTAGCCAGTGCAGCCTGACAGTCCGTCACGTGCGAAGGTGCCCCATCGATAATCACTTAGTGACAGTCTTTCCTCTGTTGCTTTACTCGTTTCTAAATTCTTCTTGGTTGGTCTCAGGAAATGATCTGCATAGCCGGCTAGACCTAGAGGAAGCCTGGTGCCACTGGAGGAAGCCTGGTGCCACTGCCTTGTAAATGCCCATGGGTGGTTTCAGAGGCGACTGGTGGCACCGCAGTTAGAGCACTTGGCCGTGGTCCAAAAGGTTGGCTGCTCAAAGCCCCCAGCTACTCCACAGAGTTGTGAGGCTGAGGTGGAAGGCTTTCCTCAAGTTTCCGGAAGATGTACAGCCTTGAGCGCACTGTGCGGTGGTTCTGTAGGGCCACTACAATGGCAGTGGGTTTGGGCTCACTTTAAAACCCTGTAAGTCACTAACCACCTTGTCCAACTCATGACAGCCCCAGAGCAGCCCTTCGCCCTCCCCAAGCAAACAAAGATCTGAGTCACCCAGACTCCCTCTCCAAACAGAGGGCTTCACAGCACCTTCAGCATGGCTGCTGTACGAGGAAAGTCTCCTCGTGCCGGGCCCCAAACATCCCACGTCACCTCTCACGTACCCTCCAAGTGTCTCCTGCTTCCAAAGGAAACAGGCGTGTCCCAGTGTGCTCCAGGTGAACGCCTGCTCGGGCCCAGTGTCTCCTCACTGGCTGCTCCTGAGCAGCTATTCATCCAGGAGCAGGAGTGATTTCCACAGGGGCCTAATTCAGTTAATGAGCTAACTCACTGGGGCTTTTACCACAGTTCCCGCTTGTGGGCTGCCTCTGCCTGCCCCAGGAGGTTTGTTGGCAACCACAGGGCCAGGCAGGGCCTGCACTGTAGCCAGCTGCGCCCGCCCGCAGGACTAGCTATTGCAGGAGAGGAGTTCAGGGCAGCGGCTCGGCGCTGACCTCTGCTGCAGTCTAGAGCTGAGTCACTTGTTCGATCATGGAAGCGCTGACAGCTAGCCACTTTTCAGTGCTTTTTGTGGCATCCGTCTGTCGGGAAGGAATTCTGACTTTCCATTCCTCCGACTCCTACAGCCAATTAAAAGTCAGATCAGATGGGCAGGTACTTCAATTACGAATATAAAGATATGTCTCGATGTGTTCTGTGGTTGAAGGTTAAAAGAATGTGAGTGACTGTTCCTTTTTCTTAGCCATGAACCACACATTTGGGGAAAACAGAGCAGGGCAGGGGTGGGGGGACTTTCTCCTCACCTTTTTTTTGCCCAAAGGTAGGCTCCAGCTGGTGGGCCCCTGTGTCTCTGGAAACTTCTGGAACATGTTGTCTGTCCTAGTGGTGACTCAGAGAAACCTGGGCCGATGTGAGTCCAAAGGACTGGTGTCTTCTCTCAGCACCGCACTTGACTTCTGCCCTGCCTGTTGCTTTTCGGAACAAGCAGCGCCATCTCCAGCCTCACTTCATGCCTAGCTTTCCACAGGTCCTGCCGCCGCTTCCTCTGTGGCCTGTCTCGGCAGAGCGGCAGCTGACGCTGGCTCTCCCTCCTTCCCACTTGCAGGTAAACGGCTGTCTGCTCGACCCGGTGCCTCCCGTCCCGAGGAGGAAGGGCTGCCAGTCCTTGCCCAGTAACATGATGGAGACCTCCATTGATGAGGGGCTGGAGGCTGAAGGAGAGGCCGAGGAGGACCCGGGCCACGCCTTCCAAGACTTTCAGGCCACCCGCAGCGGGCAGAGAAGACACACCCTGTCAGGAGTTACCAACCAGCTGGTCGTCGTGCCAGGCTCAGGTAGGACATCCCAGCTCACGGCCATCGAGTCAGTTCAGAGTCACAGCGAGCCTGTCCGACCGGGAAGAACCGCCCTGTGGGTCTCCGCAACGGTCACTCTTTACGGGAGTACAGAGCCTCAGCTTTCTCCCAAGGAGAGGCTAGTGGTTTCAAACGGCTGACCGCGTGCTTGGCAGCCCAACTAACCCCTCAGCCACCGAGGCTCCTTTCAGGTCTGACATGGTGTCAGGTTGAGTCTTCCAGCACCCCTCTTGCTGTAGTCTCCCAGAAAGGTTTGCAGTGCCCTTTGATTCCTGGAGCTGAATCTGGGTCTCATTCCTTTCTGGACCAGGGTCCGGTGGCTAATGGAGTGTCAGTGTGGGCTTCCCGAACTCCCAGGAGCCGGCTCAGTGCTGGGTGGGCCATCCCAGGTGCTGGCTTTTCTGGAGTAGCAGGCTCTGGAATGTTGTTTTCCAGAACTTCCACGGTGACTGGATTTCAGCTCACTCCCAGAACGTGCTAGTTGAGGTATACGAAAGTTCAAACCTGTTGCACTTGGATGTTAAGGGCCTCGGAGCTGTCGGGGCTTAAGCAAGTAACTCTTTGTAGTCCGTGTTCCAGAAAACACTGATGTTGGTAATACCTGTTTTGTTTTTTCTTACAAGGGAAAATGTTCTCCGTGAGTGACACCCCTTCCCTTGACAGTGTGGACTCTGAGTATGATATGGGGTCTGTCCAGAGGGACCTGAACTTTCTGGAGGATGACCCTTCCCTTAAGGACATCATGCTAGCCAATCAGCCATCGCCACGCCCTGGGTCTCCCTTCATCAGCCTGAGGCCTGCCAACCCAGCCATGCAGGCCCTCAGCACCCAGAAGCGGGAAGTTCACAACAGGTCTCCAGTGAGCTTCCGAGAGGGCCGCAGAGCATCGGACACCTCCCTCACCCAAGGTGACCATTGCCATTGCTGCCTCTAACAATCTTGACAGAGCTTCCTGGCAGTTGGTGCCATGCTGCTTGCCCAGCTCTGGTCCCCGAGAGGCTTCGTGTGTTACGTAGACTCTGTTCTCTTTCAGGCATTGTCGCTTTCAGACAGCACCTTCAGAATCTGGCTAGAACCAAAGGGATCCTAGAGTTGAACAAAGTGCAGTTGCTTTACGAACAGATAGGACCAGAGGCCGACGCCCACTTGGCATCAGCAGCTGCTCAGCTCCAAGATCTTGCCAGCAGCTGCCCACAGGTGAGTGACCTGGGCCCTTCACCCAGGGCTCTGGAGGTGCGAAGCAAGCATCTGTCCTGGAATGTGTCATTTTCAGCTGGAAGATGGGCTCCTGTTCTAGAGCAAACAGGTTCTTCTGGAAGGCCTACAGGCTGAAGTCTGGCCTTCTTGCAGCCACCTGGCACTTACAGGTTAGACCTGTCCACACGGCCCCAAGTGAGCAGGAACAGGTGGAAGCATGAACATGCTCAAGCCCTCTTTAGTTCACCAGACAGAAGATTCCACCACTCCCCCACACAGCAAAAATGAACATCATACATGTCACTCAATGAGAGGCTCCTTAGCACTACTGTGGGTGTGACATCACTTCGTTAAATACTACAAGTGGCTGAAAGGACAGTGAGTACTGTTTGTCCCACAAACGTTGTGCAGTGCCTCTAGATCAGGGATGCTCAATCTTCCTCATGCCGCGACCCTTTGCTACAGGTCCTCATGTTGTGGTGACCCCAACCATAACATTATTTTCATTGCTACTTCATCACTATCATTTGGCTACTGTGATGAATTGGACGCCTCCTGTGAAAGGGTCGTTCGACACCGCCCCCTCGCCCCCAAAGGGGTCACGACCCACAGGTTGAGAACTGCTGCACTGCTGCTCTAGATGCTGTGGCATTAGAGCACACCGAGACAGGGCCTCCTGGAGACGCCCGGGCCTCTGCCCTGGGCTTGCCTGGGTAACAGTTTACTATCCTTCATACACGTGTAAGGTTGCTACAGGTCACCTTCAGCCCACAGTTGGGGATTCTTCCTGAACGTTGGTGAAGACGTGTTTAAGGAAAACCCTGAGGCTCTGTCCCCATGTGCAGTACTGAAAGCCTTCTCCTTCTTCCGCCCGGCGCCCTGCAGGAGGAGGTGTCGCAGCAGCAGGACGGCGTCTCTGGTCTCCCTGCCAGCGTCCACCCTCAGCTCACCAGGCGGCAGAGCCTGGAAACCCAGTACCTGCAGCATCGGCTCCAGGTGAGCACCTTCTCCTCGCGGTCCCATCCAGAGCCTCCTCTCTGCCGAGCAGGAACTTGTTTTGCTTGGGATGGATTGAGGGTAGCTTCTTATTTCCTACAGGCAGGCAGGTAGGTTTGGCTCTGACCTGTTAGCATCTTGAAACGTGTGGGGACTTAGCCATGTGCTCGTGCTGGCAACGAGAAAGGATTTGTCCTCATGCCCCAGGAAAGGTTACACCACTGAGCAGTAGGGAAAGGTACCCTGGGCTCCTTGTTTGGTTTCACATCTCTTAATCAATCATAAATGAGACGAAATCTCAAGCTTGCAATATGTTCACATCAGCTCTCTCAGTTGGTACATGAAAATCTTAAAATAGGATACAACGCAGGTCCATTAAAAAAAGGGGGGGTTGTTTATTCATTCATTCATTCATTCCACAGCCTCTTCAACCTGTGTTCTAAAGATGTAAGGGTTCTTCTCTCATTGGTTTTCAGCTCCATAAATACTCACAGTCCCGGAGAAATTTAGAAGTGGAAAACTGAGGCAGGTTAGAACTGGTATGGGGCCAGGCTTCCTGACCCAATGCTATCAGACCCCAGGGCTCTACCAGGGTTTGAAGGAGCAAGTGCCAGTCCCTGCCTTCTGGTGGGGACCAGTGGGTTCATCCCAGCCAAGCACAGCCTGACGCCTCCCTCCTGTGGTGACTGTTTGCTGCTCCGGACTCAGTGCTGACCCACTACGACCTCATGTGAGCAGAGTAGAACCATTCCATGTGGTTGTCCAGCCTGCTACCTTTCAGTCAGTTACCAAGTCTGTCTGCTGAGGCATCTCGGGGGTGGATAGAACCGTCAACCTGGGCCCCATAGTTGAGCATTTGACCATTTGTGGCACCAGGGACTCTCGACTGCATCCCCTGCTGGGTGCCTCCCTACGCCCTACACTTATGCTGCCTCTGTTCTCTGCCAGAAGCCAAGCCTTCTGTCGAAGACTCAGAACACCTGCCAGCTGTACTGTAAAGAAGCGCCCCGGAGCCTGGAGCAGCAGCTGCAGGAGCACAGGTGAAGAGGGTCTTGTGGAGGGCTCACGAGTGCTGGGCTTTCAGTCGCCGAGATGAGAGCATGCCCTTTCCACAGGGGGTGGGCCTGCCCGGGAGCAGCAGCCCTGAAATGTGCTTATTGCCTGTCTCTCCTAGCATTTCCCATGTGGGATCCGACGTGTGGGCCTAAGATCTCAGAATCAGTGACCTAGTGCAACTGGAGTGGGGGTCTGCGCTGCAGAGGAGGCCTGCCCTCCCTCCTAGACACAGCTTGGCCAGGGCCGATGCAGCTCGGTCCACCAGCCTGCAAGCACACACCGTGGCCAGGCTGATGATGCCCGTGCTCCAGATGGAATGTTTGCCTCTCTCTCCATGGGGAGAACATCCTAGAGAAAATAGATCCACGCTCCCTTTACTCCAAGGGATCTGTCGGAATCAGCAGCCCAAAAAAATGAGATTGACGATAAGACACTGGACACAATTAAGTTCTTACTAAAAAGACAGGAAGTGGCAGAGGCTAAGGTTGGCTATTTGAGAAGATTATGACACGTTTCCTTTTGCTGTCGTCTGTAGGCTCCAACAGAAAAGACTCTTCCTCCAGAAGCAGTCCCAGCTGCAAGCCTATTTTAACCAGATGCAGATAGCCGAGAGCTCCTACCCACAGCCCAGTCAGCAGCTGCCTCTTCCCCACCAGGAGAGCCCCCCACCGCCTCAGCAGCCTCCGCCGCCATTCAGCCTGGCCCAGCCCCTGAGCCCCGTCCTAGAGCCTTCTGAGCAGATGCAATACAACCCTTTCCTCAGGCAGTACCAAGAGATGCCCCCGCCGCCGCCACCACCGCCTCCTCCGCTGCAGCCACAGCAGCCTGGAGCCACCCCGCGGGCCCTGCCCTTCTCCTATCCTCAGACTTGTGAGCTGCCCAGCACCGCTTCCCCGGAGCCAGACTACCCCACGCCCTGCCAGTATTCCATGGACGGAGCCCTGCCAAGTGGCATAGCCATGCCAGACTGCCCCAGGAGCTCAGGACTGCAGGAGGACCCCTCCAGCTACAACCCACTAGCCCTCCCCGAGCTGCCTGGCCTCTTTGACTGTGAGATGCTAGAGGCCGTGGATCCGCAGCACAGCGGGTACGTTCTGGTGAATTAGTCTCGGCCCAGGAGGTGAGGTGGGTCCAGTGAAGGAAGAGTGTGTTTCCTTTTTAATTCCAGCCTTTTAAATGTAAAGCTTATCTTCTTGCCCTGTTTCTCCTGGGGGGAAACCAAGTGGCCCCGCTGGAATCAGAGGGTCTGGCTGGGGTACCTTTTGTCCTCCCACAAAGTTTTCTGTGGAAAATGCTGGAATGTAAGTGGGAGGCTGAAGACCGTGCCCTTGGGTCGAGTGGAGCAAAAGCAAGCCTGCCGGGGGCACCAGCCCCCTTGGTAAGAAGACCCTCAGGCGGGTCTGATGCAGGATCACCTCTGTTTATTTTCCCGGGGAAGCCTTGGTGCAGGCAGGAAAATGTATGCCATTGCTTATAATGTGGGCGATGTGTTTTTTTTTAAGGGCAATATATTTTTCACTGACGCAGAGCAATGACACGTAAGAAGCTTAAAAGCAAATCCAGAGCGCACAGTGGAATTTGATGCACAAGAAGGCCAGGAAAGGTGTCCTTTGCCATCCAATTACACATTCTAAGCTGCTGCTGCTGCTGCTGCTACAAGCTGTGCCCAAGGCTGTGGAATTTGAGCTTCATTTTCAGGGGCCACTAACTGAAAGCTGGTACTGACCCCCGAGACTGGCCGTCGCCTCCATGTGGAAGCAGGCGACACACCCCTGCAGAAGGTGCCTCCGGGTTGCAGAGTGTCGGAATGTGTGTGCTCCAGGCCCCAAAGATGTCCCCTGCAGAACCTGCAGGAGACCCAGCGCAGTCAGCGGGACTGCAGAAGCCTCCTCGCTCACCAGCCTGGGCCCAGGGAGGACCGGTTCCTCCCAAACGGGGACAGTTGGTCTCTAGGACCTGTTGTCTCTTTTAACATGTAACAACTACTTTGACTTGACACTATTCATTGCTAGTAGTTTATTGGGCTTTGTATATTTGGACAGTTTCATATAGGGCTTAGAAATTTTAAGGACAAGAAAAGCGAAGTTTATCTCCCATGTGAAGTGGTGTGCTGTGCCTTCCCCCCGCCCCCTAATCATGCTTTGATTATTTCTGTTCTCTAGAAACCGTTTTTTCCATATTTACTTCGATGCTAAATCCAAAGTCACTTCAGAGCTCGTTTTCCACCATGTGGGAATTAGCATTTTCTTACTTTCCTTAAAGTTTCAACATGTAATGAAATGTTAAAGTATTACAGCAATATTCAAAGAACCACAGATGTGTTAACCAGTTAAGCAGATCATCTGCCAAACATGTTTAATTACTAGTAAAACTTAACCCTTACAACTCACGGATGTCAGGAGGGGGAAAAGAAAAAACAGATGCTACCGCTAGTTACCTGTAGACAGAGAGGTAACGCCTAGTCTGTCATTTGGACCGCGACATCCGAGTGTTACAAATTCAGTATTGCTTACCAAGAAGACCATCTCTGCCCATCAGAGCTGCTTATCCTGTTGGCGGATGAAGGCATTAAGCACAAAGCAGGGAGGAGACACCAACGCCGCACCTAGAAAACACCTCTCCGTTGCCTTTCCTGTCTGCAGTAAATGTCCAGCAGGTGAGGAGAGGCAGGGGGTTCTCCAAGGAGGTTCCTGCCAGCTCCCCACCGCCCCACCAATGCAGGTCCCTGTGAGCAGCCCTTGCGGGGGCCACCTAAGGCACCTGGCCACTCCTCATGGCCCTTCTGGCCAGGGATGGGCTGCGGGTGGTGGCGGGAAGGTTGGCATGGAGAACTGCCAGTCGTGTGATTGAACCGCATGCAGTGAAAATCCAGGAAGGCTAAATGGTGTTCCTTCCTCCTCACAATTCAATGACTCTGTGGAGTAGGCAAGCATCTCTGTTGAGAGGAGCGGGGTGACCATCAGCATCCCATCCGCTAGCTCGGTGATTCTCAACCTTCCTCATGTGGTGGTGACCCTGCAACCATAACATTATTTTTGTCGCTACTTCATAACTGTTATTTTGCTACTGTTAGGGATCAGGCGACCCCTATGAAAGGGGTCAAGACCCACAGGTGGAGACCTACCGCGGCGCTAGCTGTGGCTTCCTCGTCTTTCTAGGACTCACTCAAGCTCAAAGTCTTGCTCTACTGATCTCTGATCCGTTTAAGGTGTCTGCAGGATGAGCGAGTCCGTTAGCCAGCAGGGCTTGCTTTGTTCAGATGGGAGGAGGAGGTGTGTGCGTTCTGCATGGAACTGGCCCTGCGGTCTGAAAACGGTTTCAGAGTGGCATGGTCACATAACTGCATCAACCCCTGCCCTCCAACGGGCCGAAGGCACACTCGGGCCAGTGGGTGAGGCTGAAAGAGGAGGGAGCGGTGGAGGGGCTATTGGAAGATTAAAGGGCCCAGAAAGAGCAGTCAGGACACCCCGAACAGGGGCCCCGGCTGTTCTGAAACCACCTGACAGGTAACAGGCCGCACCTGCTGAAGCTTACCTGTCCGACTGTTGGAGGCAGAAGTCATGGAATTCCATGGCCATCGGTGTTTGCTGAGGTGTAAGCTGGGGAGAGGGGACTGGTTCTGTTGGTCAGTGAGGTGTGTCCCCACCTGTCTGCTCATCTCCTTTGCCATCTTCCCTAACCAGTGACCTCTCCAAGCGTCCATGCTGTGTTCTCCTTAGAAATGCAAAGTAACACTGAGAGGGCTGAGAAGCACTCTTGACCCAGGAGGCTACTCTGCAATGACTTCTCCGACCCCCTCCCTCGCCCCCTTTTTCACACGAGCAGTGTGTGTACACTACTGTATAGCAACCATTAGCTTTATGATCTTGTCAACCAGGCTCCTCTGAAGAGACTGTAGTGAGATGAGCGTGAGGTAAAAATTCCATTCGGCAAAAAAGTGCAATATGTGTGGTACTTTATTTTTTATGTTCTTTTTCTCTTTATAATCCGGGGGTTTCGGTGTCTGCTGTGGGGAAAAACACGCTAGTTCTGCAATTTTCAGGTGGACAAGTGTGTCTCTAGTATGTATTCACATGAAACAGGCATGCTACTCCCTGTAAGGAAAATGTAGCATGTTAGCACCACAGGAGGGCAGGAACAGCTTCGCCAGGCCGGCCCCTCCACCTGCACCGCCCAGCCCTGCTGCCTGAGGAAGGGAGAGGAGCCCCCGAGACCCACGGCGTGGAACACAGCTGGGCCCCACCAGGGGAAGTAGGAGGTGGCCTGAAGGGCTGTTCTTCCTGTCATGGACAGCATCAAACTGGACCGCCTACAGAGGAGAAAGCTAGTGGGCCCTTCGTCCTCAGCAAGAGAACTCCCCCAAGTTTGTGTCCCAAATGAAGTAGGGCCTGGCCTCTCATGGTTTCGTACAGACTGGGCCCTATTAGAGAGGGAAGTCTATCGACCTTGTGTGGAGTGTCCCCTCTTTTGGCCCCACCCCCACCTCCCCTGAAGGCCTTCAGAAGTGACTCATCTGGGGACTGCCCTCACCCACTGGGGTTCACACACTAGGTATCCCTCGTGCCCAAAGGAAAGTCAGCTGGCACGGGCAGCTGGAGAGGCTTAGACGGTCCAGCAACACAGAGGGGCTAAAAGCAGCACTTCTGGTTCCTTCTGTTGGCAAAGGGTCCCAGGGGTGTGTGCACTACAACAGCCAGGGGATGGGCGCAGGGGTGGGGGGTGGGGGGGTGTCGCTGCAGACCACTCAGAAGATGTGGACATAATGAAAGCGTGTGGCTTCTGTTGTGGGCTCCCCCCACCCTCCCCCCCATGTCTAGTTAAACTCCTTCAGGTGTTTAAATAGTGGGTTGTCTGTCGGGATGCGGGAACTTTCATACTCCCGAGAACGGCCACCCTCCTCCCCACTAGTGCGTGATGCCAGGGTCCCAGCGAATGGTCTAGGGGCCCCTGGGTCTGGCTCTGACCTTTGCTGCATCCTGTACCCCTGTGCTGGGCTGCCGCTACTGCCTCCTGGGTAACCACCCGAGCCGCTCAGTCTCTTTCTGCCCGGACATCAAAGGTGAAAACTGGAGAACAAGTAGGAAGCTGGAGTAACTGGATAGGCAAGACTCTTTGATCGCTTTGGCGCTACTGGAAATATGTTACAGAATTGACTTTCAGAGTGAAGTGCGGTGGTTTTTCAATAGCCCTCCTGACTGGGTTCAGGCCCCTGCAATGGGGAGCCCAGGAGGGGACTAGGTTGTGGTGGGCAGGCGGGGGGCAGGAAGAGTGGGGTCAGTGTGCATTTCTACCCAGAAGGGACCCTGGCCCGCTGCCCTGGTTGCACCACCATCTAGGCAGGACAGATGTCAGCAGCCCGGGCACGCATGAACGCACACTGTGGCCCACATGGAGAAACAGGCAGAGGAGCTTGGCGCTGCCCACATGTGACCAGCGATGGTTGTGATGGTTCCTGCCCAGCATCCATCTTGGCTGCCCTAGAAGAACCAGCGTTTACGTTTGTGCTTGAGTCTGCCCCTGCTTATCCTCACAATAACACTGTCCAGCTAGATGGGCAGAAACTCCTTGTTTTTTACAGCTGAGGAAACGAGCTCTCAGAAGGGTGCGTGGTGCGTGTGAGCTCAGGGCACCGCTCCCCCTTGGCCTTCTCTTGTCTTCAGTAGCAATGCCCTTTTCAGACGAGAACAGGCTAGAGCTGGTGCCTTTACCAGGGGATACGAGATGAAGTGGCATAGGCCTCACACCAGGCCACTCTCCCACTGACCAGCAAGTTGGAGCCATCTGGGCTTGCCGGCAGAAGTCTCTGGTTTCCCTGAGTTATGAAGGATGGCCACTTCCTAAAGCACACACACATAGTGGGGCACACCCCTCCCTGCTTGCCAAAGGGCCAGATGGCAGGGCATCGAGTGCCAGCCCCACCCCCTTTGCAGGCCAACAGACTTGACCCAAGAGAAGCAACAGTTGAGTCAGGCCCCTTCGAGTGCTAGTGCCACACAGACAGGCACTTTTAGGGTTAAACCAAAGGGCGCACCGTGATTGAGTACTTGGTCTTTCCAAAAGCAAATTGAACGGTGGGAGGGGAGGGAGATCCTTAAAAATAGGACAGAACATCATCCTGGAAAAATATTACCCCAGATTTGAATAATGTGAAATTAGCAAGTACAGATAACTGGGGTCGGGGGTGGGGGGAGGTTTGCTTCCCTTTGGGAACTGCAATTGGTCAGAAGTGGTAACAGGTGTCTGCCCTTTGTAGAAAGGACAAGGTTATTTGCTTATGTCCCAGGGGACAAGAGTGGTCTCTGCTGGAGGTTTGCTCTGTGAAAGAGTGACTTTTGATAAAGTTAACCTCATTGTAGTTGGATTTTTGTTTTGTTTTTTTGTTGTTTTCTTTGTGCTTTCCATTACTTAGGAAAAACAAATTGGTGAGTTCAACAGCTTTGGTATTTTGAGTGCAAATCATAATCGCTCCAATATGGGGGAAAAAATCAAAATGTAACCTGTCACTCAATGTTAGGAAATTGCCTAAAATGCAGTTTAGTAAATTATCTTCGTAACAAATGATAATTTAAATGGGGTAATTTTCTGGAAGGAAAATGTAGTTTTCATGTCTTCGGCCTTCCTGAATTAAAATAAAAACAACTTGTTTTCCTAAGCGCCTGGGTGCTTGCTGTGAATGTCAGGCAAGGAGCCGGGCATCTCATTCCCCCAGCAGCCTGGGAAGGGTCTTGTAAGTGTGGAGAGTGGCTGTGTTCTGTGAGCTCCGGTGCTCATTTCAGGCTGCGGAAAAGGACAGTGGATGATATGTTCTCATTGACGTCAGCAGGGTAAATAATGCCTTGTTCTGAAATCGCCGCTGGAGACACCGACGCTAACTGCACACGACAAGCCGGCTGAGCGCTGCCTGAGCTGGCCTCGCTCTTCAGTCAGGGAAGCCCAGCTTCCCTGGAGTCTGGCTAAGGGTCTTTGGCAGCAGAAGGGAAGGTGGGGGGTGGCTGCCCTGCTGCCACCACCCCAACCCCCTCAAGGGCACGGAAGCTACAGGAAACGCCCCTGCAACAGATGATGTTGCCCTACCTCTGGGCTCTGCGCAAACGTTGATGCTGCTAGCTTCCTCGTGCGCACTCTCTCTCGCACACGCACATATATATACACGCCCCAATGCCTCGGGACAGGCAGCCTGGAGGCCCAACGTGGTGCCCTCAAGGTGCTGAGGACCCCACGAGCCATGGCTCTGAGGCTGCTCCCATACCTGTCCACACCCCACGAAAGGGCAGTAGGCAACCGTAGTCTCTGGCAGCAAGTCCCACTGAGATTTGGCTTCATTCAAACCATTGCCTTGGTCAATGGTGCCTTCAGTCGAGCCGGTGATACAGCACCGAGTCAGGGGTCATATAGCTGTGGTGGGGGTGGGCAGGCAGAAACTGGACAGGTGCTTGGGTGCCTGCCGCCTCACGGCTGCACAGGAGGGCCTGGCAGCACAAGAATGCAGTAGCACCCAGTCTCAACAGCCTTTTTTCTTCCTTTTTTTTTTTTTTTTGAGGAACTTATTGGATTTCAGTGGTGTTGTTTTGCAAACTTTCCCCTTTCCCACCAAATTTCTCCATCATTTTTATGCTGCCAAAAACCACCCCCATGTCCCAGGGCACAGGCAAAAAATAACAGGCTTGCCAACAGACCATCCCAAATGTGAGCCCCTGATCTCTGAGCTCCCCACCCCACACATCTCGTCGTCCTCTGGTCAGCAGCTCCTTCCTACCCCACTCCTCCAATAGGGAGCTCTGGTGGTGCAGGGGTTAAGCCCTTGCCTGCCAACCAAAAGGTTGGTGGTTTGGAGCCCTCCTGGGCCACTGCAGGAGCGATACGGCCCCCTAGGGCTGTGCTGGGCTGAAATCCACTTTTACTTCTTTCTTAAACAAGATGCCCTGGTGGTGCAGGGATTAAGTGCTTGGTTCCTGTCCTGAAGCATTACCCTGTGGGACTCTGTGCCAGGGAAGGCCTGGTGATCTGTTACTGTGCAGGTTACAGGCAAGACATCTCTGGGCAGCCTTCTGCTCTGTCCCGAGGCCATGATGTGTCAGAGGCAACTCGACAGCACCCAAAACCACCCTCAGCATGGGGGATCACAGGCCTCTTGGACCCACTCAAGAAGGCCATGCACCCCTTTCCCAAGAAACACATGCACTTAACACACAGCTTTGGAGAGGCTCGTTCCTGGACCCCCAAGTTAAGCAGTCAGCCGTGTCTCCAGCTGTGGCCCTGCTGCTCCTCCCTGCTAGAGAGGCCCCTTCCCCCGCCCTGGCCGCCTTTCAAGAGCACCGTGGAAGGAAGTGTGTGGCTTTGTGCAGCAAATCCTGCGTGCAACGTGGCAGCCACAGAAATGTCACCTGCACAGGCCACAGCCACTGCTGAAGATGGCGTGGCTCGGCTCCTACCAGTGTCACTGCTCAGAAGTGATGCCAGGGTGCATGTCCTGTGTACACATCCTGCTGAGATGTCCCTAGGAGCTCTGCTGAAGCTAAGGGGCTGAACACCTACCCACAGCCGCTTGTCTGACCTGCTGACGGGACGTTGAAGCCGACTTCCTCCACACCCATCTGGGCAGAGCCTTCAGGGGCATCCACACCCCGCTTTGTGCGAGGTTCTAGGGGCTTTCCTAAGGATGACTCAGGGCTAGTCTGAGGTTGGCAGAGAGAGAGGGTTCAAGCCCAGGCAAAGCATATGCTGGGCAAGGCACCAATGAAGCATGGGAGGGCGGGGGCGGGGGCGGGGGCAGGAGGAGGTGCATCTGGAGAGAAGCCCAGCCCCCAGGAGGGGTTAGCTGTGCAGAAAGCAAAGGCAGGAAGTTTGGGCCCAGAGGAAATCAGGCATTAGGGATTCAGCCTCTCAAAGGCAGAACTGAGTCACTCCCCCTTGGGCAGGCTGTGGACTCCACCCTCACTCCCCAGAGGTGTGGAGGGGAGGGGAGGGGTGGGTAAAGGGCCAAGGAGAACTCTGACCCTCAAAGCCAGCCGAGGCGGCGGTCCATCACCACCTCAGGACACCCACACGGTGGGGAGGCAGTTGCAGCTGAACTGAGGAAGAGTCCCAGGCCCTTCAGAGGACCGAGTTCACAGCTGCCTGGCTCTTCAGGCTGAGGCCCCACCCGAACCTGGGCCTGATCTCTAGGGGAGCCAGAATGTTCGCCTCCAAGAAAGAGAAGACAAGGTCCCTGCCAGCAAACCGAGGGCAGGCAGGCCTTTAATGGGGACTCCAGGGACCAAGGACCCAGGCAAAGCGGGCATGGTGAGAGTCCAGCTTCTTTCTACCACCAGTCCCTCCAACAACACCCCTGGCCACAAAATGCCACTCACTGGGCAGGGTGAGGCCTGTCCTCTGCCAAGGACAGCCTGGGAGGCAGCTAGGAACCCTGAGCAGTCCTGGGCACCAGCCTAGGATCACGCCTCCCCAGGCCCTGTTGTCTCCTGGATGGGCCCTGGAGAATTCCTGGCACCCATAGGTGAGCTCCTTAGAACTGCCCTTGAGAGTTGGTTGGGCAGAGCCAAGCAGTCTCCGGCCCTGGGCTCCCAACCTGCCCTCAGAGGCGTCCCTCCACCCCTTCGAGGACTCTTGGAAGACCCCAGAGTCCTGACAGGCAAATGTTTCCCTCCCCAAAGCTTGCCGGAACAGTCCCCAGGTTCACATAGAAAAGAGCCAGAGTTTTCAGAAGGCTCAAAGAGGGTGGGAGTGGGGGGGGGTGGGCCAACAGAAAAAAAACAGAAAGGGAAAGGACAGCCGAAGAGCCGGGAGGAGCCGTGTTGCGGAGCGAAGGTCTGAGCGGACAGGCGGCAGGGCTGGCACTGGGCAGCGTCTGTGCGGGACAAGCTGGCAGCAGGCAGAGGGGGCTCGGCAGGCCTGCATCTGCACCCATGGTTCATGGACGCGTCCTTAGGTTTTAGTCTCCAGACCTGCGCTCTGCAAGGAGCCTGAACGTCCCTCAGCTGTTCCTTCCTGTGAGAACAAGACTGACATCACTGTTGTCAGGGAAATGGTGTTTTGATTAAAATCATGTGACAGCTACTTTGAGATTCAATAAACAAATTCCTGTTAACCCTTGCCTAACAGAAGCTGCCCTCCAGCTGGGTGGTCAGAGCCACCTGTGGCTGGGTTGGGGGGGGGGGCAGGCGCAGACTCTGCAGGCCCCCAGCAGTCCCCAGAGCCCCCCACTGGGGAGCCCTCCAACTTCACTGCAGCTCCTAGGCTGTGCGCAGCCAGGCACTCCATACTTGTCCAGAATCAGGGCCAGAAAGGGGCACTAGCTTCCTGGCTTGGAACAGAAAGCCTTCCTGGGGCCCATCACGTGGCGGCTGGCCCCTGGCTTGCAGAACTCGGTAACCACAACCAGCTCCGTCTGTGGCACTCGGCCACGGTTCGCAAGTAAAACCCGCGTAGAGCAACCCCAGCATCGTAATGGGCTGAGGCGTTTTCTGGGCGACAGGCCTCACACTGCCAAACCTCCATCCCAAGGGGGAACAAGAGGACGGGGGCCAAGTGGAGGACCACCTGACAAATGGAGATGGCCCCGACCACACAGAATCGTCATCCAATAAGACGCTTGCCCAGTGTTTAACATTGCCGCGCCCCCCTCACCCCACCCCACCAGCTTGCAGACTCAAGCAATGGCGGTATTGTTTCCACACACAGCCACGCCTGGCTAGGCTGTCCGCAATCTGAACAAGTCCCTCAAGTGTTGTACCCAAAGTTCCGGGCACTCGCCATGCACTTAGTGAGTTGGCCCGCTGGCCCTGAATTTATAGAAAACCTTCACTCCCTGTTCCCCGTGGGGGCCTATGGCCTGAAAAGTGCTCCCCCCTCATCAGCCAAGGTCTTTTCCTGAAGGTCAAGTTCTGGGCAGGAGGCCAAAGCACACCAAAGGCCGACCACCTGAGGTGGTCAAGGCCCCGGCGCAGGTCTGGCTGGTTGGCAGATCTGAAGAGCCCTCCGTGGGTAAGAAGTGTCCCCAACTTCGGTTTCCCATTAAGGAAAAGCCCCTGGATGGAGGTGGAAGGCAAGTTAGTCACTGGACAGCCAGCATCCCGGGTAGCTGGATTCGGGCCTTTGTGCTCCCCTTCTCCAGGCAGGCCCCTAGGTCATGGTAACCTTGACGAGAGACGGATTTCCCCCCCAGGGATGGAAATGACTGTCCGCGAGGAGTGTGTTAAAGAATTACGTTTCTCTTCTGTGAAGGCTGAACCACTCTTGACAAAGCCACCCCTGCTCATCTGCAGTCCTGCCTGGAGAGTCAACCTCCCGCCACAGACGTGACCCCACTCTGGACAGGCCACCCGACCCCACCCCCAAACGGAAGGACCACGTGCTGGACTCGCTCTTGGCCCCAGACTGGGCAGTTCCCCTGCCACGCGGACCCCCTGGCTGCCCAGGACCTGCGGGCCTTACCGCCTCAGCATCTTCTCCAGGCCCTCAGGGTCTTGGAAAGGGGTTCTTGTCAGCCCCTGGGACACAGGGCTCGGCACTGTCCTTCACGGGAAGGCCCAGCTTCCTCAGTGTTTGTGCCAGCACTAGAGACAGACAGCAGGTGCTGTAAGCAGGCCTGATGACGGCGAGGGGGGGGGGCTCGCCAGGGTGACATTCTTCCAGCACAGCACCCACATGCACAGATGCCGCTGTTTAGAAAGCCAGGACCTATCGAGGGTGCCAGCTGTGAGGGGCCTGCCGAGCCAGGGCTGGTCATGGTCACTGTGGCCCACAGAGCCCTGCCACGACGGCAGATAGCCGGCTCTTTCATTTGAGGAAAGTCGAGAGAGAAAAATGAGTCTGGCTTTTGAGTAAGCAACCGCTTTTCCCCTCAAGATCCCCCCCACTAGTCATAACCCCGAAACCGCAGGCCAACAGGGTGGGGGGATCTGGGACTGGAGGCAGGAGCGAAGAGCTGGAGGGACGAGACAGGCAAAAACCACTACATCAGTCACCTCCTCTGTTAAAGGAGGACCCGCACTGACATCCCTTCCAGAGGTGGGAGGGCAAAGGTGGGTCAGAGGAATGTTCCGGCACTGGAGGAAAGCAAGAAGGAAAAGCACTCAGGTGGTTGGATCGCCCTGCTCTGCCGTCCGCCCCTGGGGGCAACCGACCCAGCGAGACCCTCCAGGAAACACAGGGGGGGTCGCGAAGGGGGCAAATGGCAAGGCAGAGCGACAAAGCAGCAACAGGGTCGTTGCTCTGCGGGATCTCAAAGGTGGTGCCACTGCCTCTCAGTCAGGACAGCTCGTCCGTCCAGACCTGCAGGGCTCGCTTGCATCAAGTGACCGTGGTACTGAGCGCCGGCTGGTATTTCAACAGGTCCTCCACAGACACCGATGTTAACTTATTTTTTATTAAACAGGATGCACTTCCAATTCTTCTCGGTCAACAGATGGACAATTAAGATCTGGTCTCTTAAACCCATGAGTAATAAACACAAATGGTGAAGGCACAGACCACTGGCGGCAGTGGAGTTTCGTCTTTGCGCTTCCTAAGAGCCAGCCAACCGGTGTAAATGCCTGCCGGCCATGAACACCAGGCAAGGGCGCCATGTGGATCACACTAGACCTGCTGCCTGCAGTAAAATCCTTTCCTTCTGTGTTTGACTCATTCCAAGCAGGAAAACAAAGACTAGATTTTAGGTATTCATTCAGTGAACACGTTTTTATTGAGCACCTACCGTGTACACCAGACACTGGCTGAGGTGTGCTGGTGACAGAGCAGAAGGCAAACCAGACAAAAACCCTTTCCCTTCAAGAGCAGCTGGAGCTTCCATGCCAGTGAAATAAGAAAACTAACCCAAGGAGGTTATGGCCACATGCTGAGGCAAACAACAATTTACGGGAAGTGTAACAGGAGGGGCTCCCTCTTAACGATGCAGTCGCCAAGGGGTCACCAGAAAGATGGCTCACTGGCTGTCCTTCAGTCTCAGGGCCAACACCAGACACAATTGCACCCGGGCTCCCAGAGGGAGACAGAGGAAGTTTACCAGTTTGTCCCCAAACCAAGGGCATTGCCAGTTGTCACAGTCACGAAACGGCTGCGCAAATTGTTTCCAGGTGTAAGACAACAATCCCTCACATAGGAAATTTAGCAAAGGGGAACAGAACTTGTAGGTCAAACAAAACCAGGAATCTAAAACTGACGTGTTTACAGCACACTAGTTTAAGATATTAAAATAAAGTAGAAAAGGCTTTTTCTTAGAAAAATATTTAATCCTGGACCCCAGTAGTAGTAAAATCGAACTGTCTTTTTACAAGATAAGGTGGCAATTTTAAAGGTAAGCTGATCTTTTCTATCTTAAATATTGTTTTCCTAAGATGAAACAAATTGGAAAATACTTAAGCCAAATTGTTTTATATAGTTGTTTAATATAGTTTTATAGGAGTCTCTGGGCTTTCAAAAACAGAGCAGGGTCCGTTGGTGCTGAGAGGTTCATGAGGGATTAAACAATTCAAAACCCCAAAAGGAAACCAGCAAACTGCACTGAGAAATATAAGCCACAGTAAATGCTCATTAATGAAAACTTGCTTGGAACAAGGCGGGTTTAATTAGGTTAAACATGTAAACAAACTTAAAAGAAATGCTCAACGATAAGGAATAAACTGGACGCAGCTGAAAGAAGATTGGGGGGAGGCGTGGCTTCATTAAGACCCCTGGAAGGCACTTCAGTAAACTGAAAGGACTGGCTGGAACACCATCTAGCGAAATGGGTGTTTTTGAGAGAGAACTTGAAAGTAGGCATCCTGACATGTGATTAATTTGCTTCGGTTTAACCCATTATCTTAAATTCCAGGGAGAAAGAATAAGGTTTTATTGTGGAAACAAAAATAAACATTTCAAATGATGGGGCTTCATAACGTCAGCCCTATCAAGACCACCAGCAATGAAGCTTCCCTTTGGAAAGCTGCGTGCGGAGCAGCGGCAGGGAGAGGATGGCACCAGGCCAGGGGAAGTCGAAGGGCAGGACTAGCCGGTATCTTCCTGGGGTTCGCCTCCTGCAGGCATCAGGAAGCCAGCTGAGCTCTCTCTCACAAGGAGACTGCAGCACCACTGGGCACCGGGCGGCACCAGCCGGAGTGAGAGGAGTGGTCTGGATGCAGCCAGCGGTAAGCCCTGAGAGCCAGTCAGCTTCAACTTGCCACCAGCACCCGTTCGCAGTGAGATGCCATGCGCCCACACTTCAGGTCTCTGAATGACATGATTACAGTCACAATAGTACAAATAAAGCCCAAGCCAACCAATCCATGAACCCTGAGCGTCCCCATCCCACACTGAAGCACCCCCCTATGATCCAGGAAACGTGGCTTTCGTGACAGTCAACTCGTGACATGTCTCCCAAATGGAGAGTTTATACAAAGAGGTTGTTCAGAACCACGTGTATCCAATGCTGGAATGGTGGAGACACACACAGAAGTAAACATTCAACACTCCACTCCAGGTCTGGTCCAAACCTACCTAGGCTCCTGTCGGACTCAGGTGGGCGGGGCCTGATATACGGGACAGAAGCAGGAGCCAAGTCACACGTTCATTAGGAGACAGGTAAGAGATGACTGGACCGAAAGGCAGGGACAGGTCAGAAACCTTAAGAACGGCCGAAATAGTTATCCCAACAAGGAAGACGAGTAAAAAACCACCCCCTTTCATCTTTAGAGAGAATCAAGTCACTGCAGTTTGATTCTTGTGAAGTTGCTGCCGTTTGCTTGGAGGGGATCTTGACGGATTTCCATTCTTGTTCCACCCAGCGGAAGAACACAGTGACTAGAGATCTGGGATAGCAGTTTAGTAAAGTCTTTGCCCTCCTGTTCCTCCTTAGGCCAATGCAAGAACTGGAAAATTCCAAAATAAAACCAGGTTAGTGGTACACAACGTTTATGCAGTGTGTGAATATCAAAAGCAACAGCGATGCCCCCCAGCCTGAGACTACACGCACGCTCACTGCGGTCAGTGTCTGGCTGCTCTGCCAGCCCCCTCGTGACACCCTTGTAAAGTTGGCTACGCCCTAACTAAAACAACACAACTGTTCTTATCTGTAAGCATCAGCTCCCGCAGCACTAGCTACTACGCTGAGAAAGTGGCCTGCTCGCTTCTCAAGAGAATGGTGGACCCAGGATTTCTAATCCAAGAGGGGCCCCAACAGTCCCTGAAGCTCACGCCTGCCTCTGTTCCCATAACGCTACGACTTCACCGATTTAACTTCCCCAGACGAGGTCGGCTTAACCAACACCTAAGGCGCACAGCAGAAAACAGAAATGCATACCACTTATAGCTTCCTGTGCAAAGTATTTCACATCCATGTCTTCATCTTGGCCGAGCCTCTGCAGTACGGGCCTAACTTCCCCCTGCAAGGCACTGAAATGCAAAGTATTGGCTGTGAAAGCAGTCTTCTGGGTGGGAAGAATGAGCGACAGTGTTATGCGTCTAAGTTAACTAGGAAAGCTTAAAATGTTAAAAGTCCAATGTAAACCCGCTAAGTACTAAATGCTGCATTAAAAGGTTCTCAGAATTCATCTCACACCACAACAAAGAGTTGAAATATCAAGTCGGAGATGATGCCCTTTGAGAAACTTTGTCTCCTCTAAGCCCAGAGAGCAGGCCCAATGGAGACTGCTGACCTCAGTATCCGCTGTTACTCCCCACAAGAGGGTAAGTTTGAAATCTTCTTTTAAAGCAAGAATATCACCCAAATCTTACTCGGTATCTAAAATTGGTCCAATTTTCTGTAGAGACTTGGCTACATTGAAACGAACATTAGCTACTTGGTCTCCCGCCATCTTTAAGACGATGGGCAGCATTTGCTTCGTGGTTATTTCCTGACCACAGGCTTCCGACAGCGCCTGAAAAAGTAAATAAGATAGTTTATTCAAAACACTTTCATTTTAAGATACATTCTAAATCTAGCGGGACAAATTAATGTCTAAGAAGAAAATCCTTAAGCAGCAGGAAAATGTTTCTAGTTTGAGCATCTAACATAGATTGCACACAAAATCGCTGAGGCAGACCAGGATGCAGAACTAAATTGCAACACGTTAAAATGCAGCTAGGTTACAACGTGAGCTTTAAAATGGACATTTCCTCCCATCGCCTAATGAGAAAGACACTCCAAAGATAAGCCAGGATACCCAGAATTCAGACATACAGTTCTGAATAATTGCTGTACTACCACGGATTAGCAGTTAACATCCAGGAAATACTTACATTAATGCAGAATAAAGTGGTCATTCTATGCAAGTAGTTAGGATCATTGGCCATTACCAACACTTTGGGAACAATGGTATTTTGGGCCCACTCGGTACCAAACTTCTGCACTAGCTTCATGAGGTTGCTGGTGGCAGCTTCTCGGATAGCGTACACTGCGAAAGAGTAAGGGTCAGTCTCCTGCACTTTACAAGCCACAGCTTATATGACACGCACGGTCCCTTTTACTTACAATCGCCATCGACTGTGGAGCACTAACCAAACTTCCCCGCACACAGACTCTAAATGTAATCACTGCCCGGCACAAAGGAGCCCAGGAGGGTCGGTGGCTCTGTGCTGGGCCCACAAATGGAAGACCAACAGTCTCAGCCCACCAGCTGCTCCCTGGGATAGAGACAGATGTGGGCGTTTGTTTCCAGAAAGATCTACAGCCTTGGAAGCCCTCGAAGTCCTACTTCTCATCTGTGGGGGAGCTACGGGTCAGAATCAGCCCGACACAATGGGTTTACATGGCAAAAACGCTCAGCTTTGACAATGAAACTACCAACCTGTCTGGCTTATCCTTTTAAGACGTGCAGCGTCTAGAAAGGGGAAAGGAGTGAAAACAACCAAAACACCAGCCTGGGACAATCCGGCTGATTCCAACACAGTGTCTCTACTGGACCAAGCAGAACCACCGATCGTTTCCAAGGCTGGAATCCTATGGGAGCAAACTGCCATTTTTCTCCGCAGCGCAGCCGACTGCTGGGATTGCTGACCTTTTAGCTAGCGGCCAAGAGCGGATCCAGGGCTCCTTCCGCACAGGTGTCACTGTGAATTAAGAAACACCCTGGGTCACAGAAAAAAATGTCCCTCAAAGATCTTCTCCTTATCGGGGAACAAGAGTGACTGTACTCCACGCAGTCACATGATACATGACTGATTGTAAGCATTCGATTGTTTCATACGGACTGAGAGGGTACAGGAAGTTAGAGGAAAGTGAGCTGGGCAAATCAAAGAAGTGTTCAAGGACAAAAGCAGGCCCTCGGCAGGGCCATAAAGATTAGGTTTATGTACGCAGGGGAAAAAAAGGGGGGGGGGTTGCAAAGAATACCAAAGACACCAATGAAAAAAGTCAGTTCGGTGGGCCTTCCAAGGTTGGGCATGTGCGGTGGAGCCAGAACCCAGAGCATCCTGAAAGCTCAACCTGCACTCGAGCAGATGACGGCACGACTTTAAGGCAAACCTGTGACCTGATGTGCGCTTGCTCAGTCTCTTCCAGCAGCAGCACAGAGAACAGCTGAGCGGGGAGAAAAGCCAAGGTATCTTGTAAAGGCCACGATGGCCAGTCGTCTAAGAACTTCACACCAAGTGGCTTCTTTCCACCAAAAATGTCTATGTCCAGACATGTCAAATGTCTTCACTGAGTAAACCTGCCTGCAGTCACATCAAATAACTTCCCACAAAAACGTGTACTAATGACACCAAAAATGTAGACAGTACAGGTCTGGGCTACAATTAGTCGCTATATACAGCAGGGAGCCAAGACAAAAGCCTGCTGTGATGCCATCTCACCGCCCCAATAAAACTCATGATGTGGGATTAGGGAACAAGCCAGGGTGGTGGGGACCGGTGGGTACTGACTCCGGATTCGGCTTCTCATGTGAGCTGAGTCCAACCTTCCTAGTGAGAAAAGCCAGACTAGTAACCAACAGCCAAACCAGACTGCCCAGGCTCCTCAACTCAGACAGGGAACCTCCCACTGCGCCCTCTATAGGTCCTTCCAGGTAATGCTGATGAGAACAGGCAGGACAGCGTGGACAAGGAACTCCATGATTTTACTACCCACGTGGATCCTCCTCCAAGCCTCTGGGAGGAGCACGTGTCAGGAAGCTCCAGAAGGCCTCTCCAAGAAGCAAGCTTAAGTTAACGGTTTTATCATAGTCTTTCTGTTTTTTGTCTTTGGCACAAGTCCCTTTCTGTCTCCTTCCCACAGGTGAACTAACTAGCTAGGCCAACTGTGTCTTCTCTATTACTGGTTTTTCATTTTACTGAGATTTTTCTCATCATAAGGCCCTCACCATAGCGATCCACTGCACACACCCACATTCTGCCTTAGCTGTTGGCCGGGTGCCTTCTACTGTGTTCTTGGCACCTCTCAATTTTGTTAAGAGGATATAAACCACTTCACGGTCTGTCCATTTACTCTCCTTGTTTTACCTTTCCATCCCCTGACGCCAAAGTCCTGTTGGCCTGCAAGGTTTCTTTGAATGTTCCACTCATTCGAAATACGCTCACTATACAGAGTGGATGGTTTTTCCACTCCCCTATGGCCTGGTATAAAATAAATCCCCTTCTAAGGTTCTCACTTTGGCCAATGCTACCTACTCTACTCTGGGAATACAAGGAATGATACTTTTCTCCTTACATTTTTTAAATAGTATTCTTTTTTTAATCATTTTATTGGGGGCTCATACAACTCTTATCACAATCCATACATCCATCAATTGTGTAAAGCACATTTGTACATTCATTGCCCTCATCATTCTTAAAACTTTTGCTCTCCGCTTAAGCCCTTGGCATTAGCTCCTCATTCGCCCCACTCCCCGCTCCCCCAATAATATTCTTTTACTAGTTTAAAAACCTAAAAAAACCACAGTTTCCAAAGTCCAATGTACGAATTATCACTATATAAAACTTATCTAAAAAGCAAGTTAGTTGGCTCATTAAGGACAAAGTCATTTCAGAGCTGGCATTTCTGCTTGCAGGCCTGGCTGCAGCAGCACAGCAGTACGAAGCTCGCTCCTGTCCCTCCGCGGAGGGAGGGAACAAAATACACTTGACAGAGCACTGCGACAAAGAGAGGGTGTGAGGAAGTAAGTTCCCGGAGAATACCAGGACTTAGTAAGTTCTTCCAAATAAAACGTTGTTTTAAAATAGAACGCCAACTTGCAAAGGGAGTACTGAATACTCTGCTGGGACGTGGCCTTCCCAAAACATTAATATTTATTATGAGCAACATGAACACTTTCTTCCCCTGAAAAACGAAGACTTTTTTTCTATGGTTTGTCAAACTTAAATTTTACTTAAAAAGGGAAAAAAAGTTAAGACCATGAAAGGGTAACTTTAGAAGGAAAGAGAAAGCAAGTCTTCACAGTAGTTCATGAACCATATTCACACATTTTCTCATACTCCTCCCTCCATGTGACCCCTATATCGAACAAACATGCTTTAATGCCAGCACCTTACAGGGATCCCCAACGGAAACCACACCAAACCCCCTGCCGAGTCCGTTCTGACTCACAGCAACCCTACAGGACAGAGCAGAGCGGCCCCGGCGGGTTTCCAGGCTCTAAATCTACACAGGAGCAGAAGCTTCGTCCGTCTCCCTCAGAGAAGGCGGTGGTTCTGAACTGCTCGACTTACGGCTAGCAGCCCAACTCGTAGTCCACTCCGCCTCCAGAGCTCCTTCCAATGGTTAAATGGACCCACACACCTTCATTTCCCACTGATCTCTGGGATTGGGACCCCACAGATGAACGAGGCATGCAGTCCATAAATCATACTCTCAATACAACAGTGTACGCAGAAGATCCAGCAGTGAGAAGAACGGATAATGGGCATACAAGACAAAGGGTGAAGATAATCTAGGATGAGTCATAGATGTCATAGGATGAGCAAGAGATATGGTAACGATATTGCTTAGAGGAAGAAATAAACAGAACATGGAGAAAGACCGATAGAAAATAGAGCTGTCCGCTATACATTCAGAGAAAGTTAACTGTAGTTTAATCAAAGACTGTCTCCATCCTTGTTTTATGGCAAAAGAGAAAATGGTCAAGCCCTACTTCCAATTTTAAAGGGGGAGTATATGAAAACCAAGAGATATGTGTCCAAGCACAAGTTTTCTATAATCATGTTTTTAACTTAGCTACTTACCGTGGTCCACAAGCCAGGCCATGCACAAAGAATTCAGCTTTTCATCAAAGAATTCCACACCCTATGGATACAGAAAATTCCATTAGCAGAAATGTCCAAAGGTCAGAAACCCATTTCTATTATACCAGGGTGACCTGGTGGCCAAAAGCAAGACCTGCTTCCACATGACTGAATTCATGAAACCAACCAAGGAAGACCAGGGGATTTACAAACAAGCTGCAAGTACACTTTACGAGGTAGAAATCATAAACAGAAAAAGCACAAGAGAGAATGGTGCAGGTTCTGCTACACTGAAGAGAAGAGGCCGGCTGGCGGCCAGACACAACACTGTGGACGAGGGAGACATGCAGTGGGATGGCCGGCTGGCCTCCCAAGCCAGCTCCAGATAATTGGTAAAAAGGAATCTCTCAGGAAAACACCTACCAATGATAAAAACAATCATCCCTGCCCTTTTGGTTAGTATGATCACTAAGGCCGGACACACTGGCATCAAGACATAGAAACAGCTCTAAGGGAGACTATTTCTTGGCTGATCAGAGAACGCAGCAAGAGGAGGAAGAGAAAGCAGGGGTAAGAGGTAAGAGCATGGGTGAGGTAGCCTCCGTGCAGCCTCGCGGGAGGGCAGAAGGAAGCACCCTGGCTCCTGGGTCTACTCTTCCTGGCTGCCAGTGTATGGTCATTTCGGCACAGGCCGGGGATGAGCACCTGGGGCCACTTGGGGCCTTCGACCCATGGGCAAATACATCCAGACTTTCCCAGTGTCTCCCTTTGGGGACCTTCATTTTCTTTGGATATGATCAAACTCCTGAACAGTGACTGCAGATTTTAAATAAAGTGATGTAATTTAAAGTTGCTGTGCTTTAAGAAGAGCTACTTAATAAGACAAAGTGACTTAATAATAATAAAACTGTAGGAGCTTTCACCAAGCATATTTATTTATTCATCAATCAACAAATGTTCAATGTCTAATTAATGCCAGGCATGATGCTGGTTAACCACCCCCCAAAAGAACAATCCCTCTGTCAATTCTAATTTATGGTGAACCTAATTTATAATTTCCAAGGCTGTAAATCTTTATGGGACTAGACAGCTCCAACTTTCTCCCAAGAAGCAGCTGGTGGGCGTGAACCTCCAAACTTGCAGTTGGCAGTCCAACGTTTACCCAACATGCCACCAGGGCTCTTTAAGCACTATGGTAGGTTCTAGAAATAAAACATTCAAAAGATACAACTCCTACCTACCACTTGTCTATGTCCTTCACTAGACTTTAAGTTATAATACATAGTAGTAAGCGCTTAGACATCTAAGTTAAGAGTATGTCAAACTTAATCAGCATACAGCAACTAAAAAGATAAGGATATAAAACGCAGCCTTGAAGTTTTACTCCACAGGATGTCAGTTATAATTCAGCTCCTTGTGAAACCTAGACCCTAAGCGATCGTGTAATTATGGAGACTTTGATCACAAATCTTTCTCTTATATACAGTAACTTCTGAACTTCCTTTAACCAGAATATAGGAAAAGTGTTACCTAGAGACATTTTGCTCAGAACATAAACAGGTACATTACCTTGAGCAAAACTCAAATCTGGCTCTCTTGAATTCATACTCCCTTCCTTTTGCTCTCAGTTAAAAATTCCTTAAGTCTGCTTGAAATAACAATAATAATACATAATTGATCAAAGACTCACGAGGGGGGGAAAGGAACTGATACCAAGGGCTCAAGTAGAAAGAAAATGTTGATGGCAACTTATGTACAAGTGAGCTTAATTCAGTTAAATGATGGATTATTATAAGATTTGTAAGAGCCTCCAATAAAATGATGATTTTTTTCCTTAAAAAAAGAAAGAAACTTTGTAAAGATGTCCACTGGGAGTTGGTAGATGCTGAAAAGGCAGAAGCTTCGAGCTGTGGACTGCGAACTATGGACCACTCCTTGTTTTGGTAAATAAAGTTTTATTAGAAGACACACACAGAAAAAATTCCTTAAGTTACAGAGACATTACAAAACCAATCACAAAATCTATGCTACACACATAAGCAAGAAATTGACTATACTATTCTTTGTTTTTGGGTGGTGGTGAGGCAAAATCTATTTACACACACACACACACACACACACCCCATATATGAAGGGGCTTCAAAACGTTTGTGGAAAAAATGCAATTAAAAGACAATAAAATCTATCCACAAAGTTTTTGAAGGCCCCTCGTATTATTTCTCTAGAGGTTAGTGGACCATCCCAGGTCAATCACGTAAACCACTGCGCCTACTAGCCGGCATAAGTCATCCTACTACAATTCACAGCTCAGTTCGTGGAGATCGACTCACCAGCTGGCCTGCCAGCAGCGGCATATACTCAATGATGGCCAACCGGACCCTCCACTTGGCATCTTCGGCCAGCTCCACTATGGCAGGAAGGAGAGACTGGGAGAGCTGCCGGATTCCAATCACTTCATTGACGCAATCCAAATTGGATATGATATTCAAACGGACTTCAGGACACTACAAGTACACCGGCCCCAAAAGAAGACGTGAAAATCAAGCAAGTTGAAACGCAAGTGACAGCGTGTACTCTTTATGGAAATACTCAATACTGGATACACACATGAGGCAAGGCCCTTAGACTGAAATGAGCATTCAATGGACTGGCTATAGGATGGCTGTGTCAGTCAGAGACATCCATTCAAATTCCCGATCCGCCATTGCCAAGAGACCTCCGTTTACCTCTCCATGCCCCTGCGTATCTGTACAATGATGATGATAATCACATAAACTACCTCGTAAAATTATTGTAAGGGTTATGTTAAAACACAAAACTAAAAAGACATGAAAATACTTAGGGCCATGCCTGGTACGTGAACTACTCAATAAACTGGAAAAAAATCTATTTCTATCAAGTTGATTCCAACTCATAGTGACCTCATAAGACAGAGAAGAACTGCCCTAAGGGCTTCCAAGGTTGGGGTCTGTTTCCTCTGCCCTGGAGGGAAGTATAAACGAACGCTATGGAAGCAGACTGGCAGAGCATCCTCCTGGGGGGTGGCTGGGGGGTTTGCATCAGACCTTTCGGTGAGCGGGCAAGTGCTCAATCCCGGAGCCACCAGGGCCCGTTCACTAGTCAGTAAAACCAAAAGCCAAACTCACTGCCGTGGAATCAGTGCCCACTGAGAGAGACCCGACAGGACATGGCACAGCTGCCCGGCGGGTTTCAGAACCCTGTCTTTCTCCCCCAGAGCGGCTGATGGTTTCGATATGCTAACCTTGCCATAACCACTGTGCCATCAGGCCTCCATAACGCCGCAACTGATAAAATGTTAGCCATGCTTTGTATTACTGTTATTTAGACTTAAGTGAAAGAACATTTTAAAATGAAGATACATTAAGTTTAAAAATAAGAAAGAAAACATATAAAGCAAGAATCAGGCGGACTGTACGCATACACATTTTTAAGTCCTTGCGTCCATTTTCTGAGAGCCTCTCACCCCAAAACCCAAATACAAGGATTGTCACTGGCTTATGATTGTTTGATTTTTTTAACCCCCCTTCACCCATTTCAGGCCTACTTTGGAGAAACCCCAAACCCAATCCCAGTAATCACTGCGACAAAGGAGGAGACTCACCTCATCCTTCAGCTGAGCCAGAAACAGAGGTAGCAGATGCTCAATGGTATTTTCTTTGCCCAAAATGGTAGACAATCCCATAATTACAGAAGCTAGAGCTGATTTGACATGTTGATTTGTATCAGAAACTAATTCCTAAAATAAGATAAAAATGAAAAGCATTTCCTTTTGCAAGACAGAGGAAACTTCCATAGGAATTTTTTAAAAACAGCACTATTACAATATGGATAGTTCTAATGTTTTCTTAGACCTTCTTAAACACAAAATGTACTTTATAATTATGAAACACTAGTAAATGATAAATAATAGTGCCATGATTAACACACGTGCCCTCACTCTCCCCAGGTTCACCTTTGAACTCAAGGAACTGTAAGTGAAGCAACAAAATGAAGTGTGGTTTAACTTTCATACAAGGCAGAGTGAAACAAAACAAAACAAAGTGAAATTGTTTACCTTTATATAGGGAAGAATTTGACTCATAATTATGGTTTCTCTACCTTCATTGGGTAAGTTCTCACAAAGTTCTAAGAGAGAGAGAGAGAGAGAGAAATGTTTACATACAACCATCTCTACGGAGCCAGATGAGGAAACCTAAGCCAGTTAATAAGGCATGGAAAATCAAACCACATGCTCAACTAAGCAAGATCCAAGGGGTAAAATGGCTCTTCTTCCAACTGCACTTTGTCTTCGATTTGTGTGCCACTGTGCACCGTCACACACCAACCCAGCTAGAAAAGCCTTCTGTAACAGCAGCAACAGATAGCACTGTCTGGTTTGAAATAGTAAGGAAGCGGCTTTAAAGCACAAAGTGACACTTCTGTACACTGAATTTGTCTGTTTACTTGGAAAACATAATATGGGACCAAAAAAAATTACAAAACTCAATGACATTTAAAAAATGCACCAAAGTGAATGACAAATGTTGCCACATACACTGAACTCCCTAACCTTTCACTTTGTGGGCAGCAGCTGCTCGGACTTCAGCTTCACAGTCTTTAAGGAGGTTCTGAAAGGCGGGGATGAGGTCATTCAGGGTGATTTTAGGACCCACAGCTTTCTGGAGCTAGAAAAGAATTTGTGCAGGTTTCACATGAACATTAACAAAATAACACATAAGAACAAAGTGTAAGAGTATATATAATCTTATGTCACAAAGATTTCCTAGTAGGAAGAATTTAAGCCAAGGGACTTTTAGTATAACAATAAGTCTCTGAGATGCTTAGAGGTTGATTTTATTTACTTATTTTCGGTACTTGCAGTCATTTTACCTCTGAGAATTTGTCAGCTACCATGTAGCGGACTCGCCAAGACTTGTCTTCCACTGCCTGTCTCAGTGTAGGCATCACCAAAGTCTCAAGGTCATCCTGCGTCAGTATCTGGGCAATACTGACACAAGCCTCCACGGCTAGCAGGCGCACCGAATCCTAAAGGGACAAGGCATCTGGTTGTCAAGCAGTATTTACTGGGAGCCCTGGGGTGTGGGGATGGTGTTGACTGATGGTGAAGTCATGGGAGGGGCCCTGCTGGTGCCACGGCGGCTTGAACTCGTCCTACTACTTCAAGGGCCAACAGGGCGGCGGTCTGCTCCGGTAAAGATGCCTGCCTAAAGGAAACCCGATGGGGCCGCTCGACTCTGTAACACGGGCTCCCCAAGGGTCAAAAATCAACAAGCAACTGACAGCAGGTGTTTATGAGGGGGCGGTGTGGTGGTCTTTGCTTAGACACCTCAGCAAACAGTGGCAGTCTGGAAACGCTCAGTCCCACCCTGTCCTACAGAGTTGCTATCAGTCAGCATCAACTAGATGGCTGTTGAGTTTGGGGTTTTTCTTGGAATACCGACTCTACCTCCAAATCACATTCCCGATTCTCTCCCTCTTCCTAGTTCACCACCATTAACTCTTCCCTAGGTTATTACCCAGATTTCCTAGCTGGTCTTCCGGTTTCTACTCCTGTCCTCTACAATTTAGTTTCCACCCTAATTGATCTTTTGAAAATAAAAATTGTATCACATCACACCCGTGCGTAAAATCTTCCAATAGGTGTGGGGGGTGGGGCCTTGGGGGCGGGACTCAAGGATCAGAAGAACTCGTTCCCCTGCTTTAAAGGCCTGCCATGATGTGGCCCTGCCTATTTTCTGCAACCCATCTCTTACCAGGCTCTCTTTCCTCGACTCTGCTCCAGCCTTGGAACCTCAGCACTTGGTGTCCCCTCTGTCCAAGCTCTGACAGTCTGACAGGAGAATACGTGGCTAGCTCTTTTCCTCCAGGCAAGAGATAACCTGTCTACCTCCTCAGAGACCTTCTGACCAGGAAAGCCAGAGGACTGCCCCATCATCTAGCCTAACCCCCTACTTTATTTTCAGAGCATTTTCCCTATCTGATAGCTTTTACTTACATATATGTTTTCCTCAACAACAATGTACACCTCATGAAAGCAGGGTCCCTCCATATCCCTTAACACTGGATCCCAACACGGAGTAGGCTCGTAATAAAACTATGAAGTGGTCTCACTGACCCTACCCAAGACTCAGTCTGATTAAGCTTCTACAAGGTGGGGCAGTGGCTATATCTGGCCAAAGCTACGTTTTATAAAGTATTATTAGAACAGTGCCAGACTGTTGTACTGTTATATACTGTCGATGACAGTGAGCAGAGCTGAGTCATTACGATAAAGGCTGGTCCACAAAGCCTAAAATATTTACTATTTGATCCTCTTTAAAAAAAAAGTATTCAAGCCTATTCTCGAGTCAATACCAATTAAGCTACGCTGTGAGAGAAACATAATCAGTAAAGTCTCAAATGAGGAAAATCTTAGGCCGGCATTATCCAATATGGCAGGGGTTGTCAACCTTCCTCATGCCGCGACCCTTTAATACAGTTCCTCATGTGGTGGTGACCCCCCCAACCATAACATTACTTTCATTGCGACTTCATAACTGTCATTTTGCTACTGTTAGGAATCGGGCGACCCCTGTGAAAGGGTCGTTCGACTCCCAAAGGGGTCACAACCCACAGGTTGAGAACTGCTGCACTATGGCAACTCCTAGCAATGTGTGCCTTCGAGCACTTAAAACCTGCCTACTGCAAATGGTCAGGGAATATTTTGGTCCAGTAAAATACAGACATGACTCCTTTATCCGTTGTCTCACTGCTCTTGGAAGAGACTGCATTTCCTACAAATTCAAAGTCTGTGGCAACCCTGCACGAAGCATGTCTGCTGGCACCATTTTTCCAACAGCCTGTGTTCATTGCACGTCTGTGTCACATTTTGGTAATTCTCACAGAATTTCAAACTTTCTCTGAGTGCTACTACAAACTTAATAGACTGCCAAGCCAAAGCCCACTGCCAGGGTTGATGCCAACTCACAGCTACCCTCATGCACAGTCACACGGACCCGAGACGTTTCTGAAGAGTGCATCTTCACCGAAGCAGAAGGCCTCCCAGCTTTCCCCCAGAGCAGCTGCTGGGCTCCCACTTCCAACCTTTCAAGTAGCAACCAATGCTTCCTTCGCCCACTGTGTCACCAGGACTCCTTGGACACACTGCAGTAGAACGCAAGCAGGACGCTGACAAGCACCAGGAAAACCTAACCGCTCAGGTGACTCGCTGAATTTCAGTATCCCCTTACTACAGTGACTGGCACCAAAGCAGCAACATCTCTAAGATATCTTTGTCCACCATGACTATGAATTTCACTTTTTTTTTTTTAATGTGGCTAGAAATTTTGAAATTACACCAGTGGGAGCAGTCACATGCTGTGATCACAACCCATGTCCCTGGCCAATCGGTCTAGAAAGCGTTAAATGGGGCCCTAACCTGTTTACTTTGGAACGCGGACTCTTGAACATTAGTTTGAGCTTTCCCATTCAAGGCCCATGCTTGGCTAACTAGAGCAAGCAGGGGACTCATCAAGTCAAGATCAGAGTTCTCCTTGGGGAGGGGTCGAGTGGAGGGCTTCTCGCAGTGACTGGAAGAGTGCATTCAGGGGTGCAATTCAAGGGTGCCTCCCTAATTATACAGCCACTATAAGATTACCTTTCATTAAAATCTGAAATTGAGGCTATCGGTATATGCCCCGATGGGATTCTAGCACAGGCGGTAGGGCATTAAAGGCCCACAAAGACTCGCCTTCTAAAGTCCAGGAACTCGGGCTGACCTCAGACCCCGCAGCCCAGGAAGCAGCATTCCAACCTCCTCAGGAAGGCCAAGAATTATGGAGACAAATTGCCTTGGTTCAAACAGCGATTTCACCAATACCAATGATTGTGTATAGTCTCACCTCAACTTTCGGGGCCTCCAATTTCCTAATGTGTAAAAAGATCTATTTGACTTCTGAGGCTCCTGTGAGGATTCAATACTTAACAAATGAGACAGCTTCAGGAAGTTCCCGGAAAGACTGCGTTGCTTTTTCACTCCGTGCTCCCAGTCTTTTTCAAGTTGCCATAAGTAAACCACTTAAAACAGAAGCTAGACTCTACCTAGCTTTCTGAGTGTTGCTCTGTTATTCTTCTACCAAAAAAAGAGGCTCAGATCCTTAGATTTAAAATTGTGATTGTGCTTAGTCCATATAATGGTACAGAGGCTGAGGAGGGCCAAATAGCTTCCCTGAATGTATTATGCTTATTTATTGGCAAGTCAAAGGTTCCAGGAAACTTCACTCCTCTGAATTACAGTATACCCTGCCACTCCCAGAAGCACCCTTGCGGTGTCTTTCTCTTAATTATGGCTCCCACTTCTCTGACCCCTCCCTCCCTTTGACAGCTGCTACCTTAAGAAGCCCCGACCGCCCTATGAGCTACACACTGGGCTGCGAGTGGTAAGGTCAGCCACTCCTCAGGAGGCAGACAGGGGCTGCCTGTTCCCATGAAGCTGTACATCCTCAGTCCTAGAGAGGGTGGCGATGGATTGGGACCAACTCTATGGCACTGGGTCAGATTTGGTGGTAAAAGTCTGATAAGGTAAGAAACATAAAAGAAATTCCCAAAAGTATTCCCCAACAATGTTTGAGGAGAAGCCTATCAGTGTATGGCAAGCGCTAGGAGTTCGTTTACCTGTTCATCTGATGCTAGATTGGTGAACAATGGGACAATCTCACTTTTCACACTTTCTAATTCCAAAACTTTTGCAAATTCACCCAACTTGGAAGCAGCAGCACGTCGAACCATAGGTGTGTCATCTGAGCACAGAGAACGGAAGTGCCTGCAGTGAACAAAGGGGTGCCCCCCACAAATACCAGTGATGAAAAGTCTCGCAGTCCACTAGCAAAGGACATTTCAACAAACGTCAGTGATTCAGCTTCTATTCGGAGGTAACAAAAATAAGACCACAGGCTTACCCAATTGGATGATTAAAAGGTGATGCCATCAATTAATAATATTAATTAACAGCACTCACTGATAGGGCACTGTGTACATTGCCAGCTATGAGTTCCCAATAACCCCAAATAATAGTTGTCAAAAGTGTCCTAGCTTACTGTCTGATTTCTGCCTTGACAGCATTGGAGGCCCTGGGGTAGCAAACGCTGAACAAGCCACAGGCAGATGTGCGAGACGTGAACCAATCCCCGCTGGCGAGGCGTTTCACCAGGGGCACAAAATGAGCTTCCAGAGCAACGGGAGTGTGTTCCTGGGAGATCTGCCGCAGCGACTCCACAGCCCTGTCACGAACCACCGTCTCTTCCACAGTTGCCAGACTTTCCAGAGGAGGCTGAAGAAACCAAAAAGAAAATGAGTGAAATAAGTCAGGTGCAGATTCCCACCTTTCACAGTGACTGGAGGCAGGGGGCCCATGTAACACATCACACCAAATGGTAACTCGCAGTTCACACAGTGATAACATATGGTGCGCCCAACCTGAAGACACGACTTCTATCGGAGAGCCAAGATCTCCTATCCCAGATGGCAATCCCCAGATGGCGTCTACAGATGACACAGTGGAAGAGACTTGACACAATATTAATATTAGTGTGTGTTGAATCACTAGGTTTATGACATGTAGCCAAATCCAGACAGAAGGACCATGCGTATTTTCTCAAGTACAAGAGCAAAAATATGTCTAACACCAAGCATCACAATCACACAATGGCACCTTGTCTGGCCAGGCCCCTTGAGTTCATAGCTTTACTACTGTGGGAAGTGCAGGTAACCACTGTCAACTAGCTCTGCAAGCCATTGTATCCAACCTATAAAAGATTAAATCCAAAACTCACATTCTTCAGGTTGTAGTTTACTCTTCCCGGGAGTTGGACATTTTAGCTGAAGGCCTTTAGATACAACCTCAAATGAAGGGTCCATCCAAACAACCAACCAACCAAAAAACATTATTGAGAACAAGGGGGGTCGGAGCAGAGACCCCAAGCCCATCTGTAGACAATGGGACATCCCCTCACAGAAGAGAGGAGTCAACCAGGGTGCAGTAAAGCATCGATGAAACACAGTATTTCTCTGATTCCTTGAAGCTTCCTCACCCCCACTATCATGACCCTAGTCCCGCCTTTCACTGCGGGCCAGACCAGAGCATGTGCACAGGTACAGATAAGAGCTCACAACATAGAGAATCCAGGAACAGGAATGGGAGTAGCGATATCAGAAGGGTAGTAGGAAGGTGGAGTGAGGAGGGGAGGAAGTGGGGAACCTATCAGGGAGACGAAAAACAGAAACCATGGGGGAAACAGAGGTAGGTGTAATATATGAAAATAATAACATAATTTATCAAAAGGTCACGAGGGTCGGGGAGAGGCAAAGGGAGGGAAAAAAAGAGGAGCTGATACTAACTGCTCAATAAAAAGTAAATGTCTAGAAAAGAAGGATAGCAACATGTACAAATGTGCTTGATACAATTTATGTATGGATTGTTATAAGAGCCCCCAATAAAAATATCTTTTAATAAATAAAAAAAAGAATGAATAAAGGAAATAGTATGTGGGAAAAAACAAAAATGAAGGGTCCAAAGATGGAGGAAACTGAAGTTTTAGAAACAGAAAAGACCGAGGACGTTGAGAGTCTGGTCTCGGGTCAGTAACTGAGTATGACATGGCCAAGTGAAACGTGGGAACAAGCTAGTTCCCTGGACCTCTGCCTTTAGTCCTGGGTGGATCCGCCACACACCATGAGCTGCGGATGTGAAAACACAAGGTCCACTTGTAGAACTGACCAATAGAAACAAAGGGATGAGTCAATGGACAGAAGTAAGCAGGGGCTTAATAATACATTTTCAAAATTACTACCTGCTACACAAAGATAAGGAGCAAAATAGTCAACTTCTTTAGTATTTCAGAAGCCCCTTGAAAAAACGTTTCTTATTGGTTAAGGCCTTTCACATAGTAGCCCTGGTGGCTAGGTGGGTTACACATCTGGATGCTAACCTCAAGGTCAGTTGTTCAAAGCCACCAGCCACTCAGCAGGAGAAAGGGACTTTCTACTCCCATTAGGTCTTAGAAAGCCCCAGGGGCAGTTCTACTCTGTCCTACAGGGCCACCATTCAGCTGAATGATTCAATGGCAGCGAATTTTGATTTGGGTCTTCTGCCCTGGGCCCTCCCACTTGAAGCCATCACTGGCTAATCTTATTACTATTACAAACCCCCCTCTCCAAGAAGTGCATATGAATACTCTCTGGATCAGACCTCTGCCTACTTCTCCAGACTTTCTGTCCTGCCCCCAGACCACCAGGCTTCCTTATTCTACCCCTCACACTTTACACTCTAGCAGTCTGAAACCAGTCCCTTTGACGCGTCCAAGCCTCTAGAGACATTATTCTTGGGATAATAAACAATTGCTGTATTCCAGGCCCTGAACAAAAGTAAACAAGGCTGATGAAGCTCCCTGCTCTGGTGGCGCTTGAACTCTAGCGGAGAAAAACAGCGAACCAAGAATACACTTGGAAGATGAGAAACATTCTAGAGAACGCAACAGGATGAGGGTCACAGGCAGTGACGAGGAGGCCATTTCCCATCGGATGTTAAATCAGATCACAGAAGCCCGAATGAGCATTTAATTAGAGCAATCCCTAGGGCCAAGGTCCTCTGGACAAGCGCTCAGCTTATTCACAGACTAAGAAGGCCGAGAAGAATGGAATGATGTTAGGATAAAAGAGCAAAGCTTACGTCGGGGAGGAAGACTCTGAAGGCTCTTGTATAGGAAGGCACAAAGTTTGGCTTTTGTAAGAATAACAACAGAGTGATCCAGCTGCTGGGTGAAGGTGAACTCAGTCGGGGAGAGCCCGGAGTAGAAGGAAGCTAATGAAGATACTATGTACTAAAGTAGAGGAAACACCAAGGTGGCTGATCCAAGGTGACAGTACCAATGGGTGGAGCAAAATGGGCGGATTTGGAATACAATCAGAACCTACTCACTCTCATCAAGTCAATGCCACCTCATGAGTCTATCAGACAGGGTACAACAGCCCCTGTGAGTTTTCAGGTTTAGAAAGCCCCAGCTTCATTCCATGCAGGGGCTGGTGGTTTTGAACCACTGACTTTGCAGCGCAATTCCCAACGCCCTATTCCACCAGGGCTCCTGGAGTAGAACCTACAGGAATTACTACACTCCGGTGACACAAAGCTTAAGTGCTCAGCTGTTAACCAAAATATTGGGGGTTCACCCCACCCAGCTGCCTACAGAAGAGACCTGGCATTCAGTTTCTATAAAAATGATATAAAAGTTATCACAAAAACCAAATGGGGTAGTTCTACTGTCATGTGGGGTCTCGAGGAGTCAGAATCCGCTCAAAGGCTTTGACTCACAACCACAGGAGTTACCAGGAATCCCAGGGACATAAATTATTACCCAGAGGTTAGCAGTTCAAACCTAGATAGGTCCCTCAGAAGAGGGGCCTGGGCGGGCTGGCAAACTGCCTTCCAAGGTCACAGCTCTGACTTACACTTGGGACTGGATGACAAAATAGCAAAGACAACACTGTTGTAGGAGTTATTAATGGATTAGATGTGGGGAACGAGAGAAAGGGGATTCAAGAATGTCTTCTGGGCTTCAGCTTGTGTGATGGCGCAGGAGACAACCAAAATGAGAGGTAAGTTTCAGAAAGTAGATTGAGTTCTAAGCACTTGAATTTGAAATGTCTGTCTGACATCATGTAGGAAAATCAATGGAGCTGGCTAGACCAGGGGGACTTCAAAAAGTTGGGGGAAACATTCCATTTATCTTTTCATCCCATTTCCCCATGAACTTATTGAGGTCATAAAAAGGTCGTATGGACTTCAAAAAAGGTCAGAGGTGAAGGCAGAAATTGCAAGAGCCAGCATCATGAAGATTTTTGAATCTTCACAATGTATTTAAAGCCTTGAAACACTTCTTCCCTGCCTTGCCCAAATACTGAATTCCTTGTCGTCCTTCAAAACCTAGTTCAGACATCATCTCTCTGTGTCTTTGTGGTGAAGTGAAATGTCATAATGTGGTTTTTGAATTCATGTCTCTCTAACTCCCACCAAATGACTGGGTGGGACTATGCAAGGCAGGCATGTGTAACTAATCAGTTTGGGCTATAAGAATGAGCCAATCTTTGACGCAGGAGCAGAGAGAGAATTCCCAGGACCATCAGAAAGGCATGTTCAAGACCTCTGTCTGAAGTGGCCTAGACCAGACGTGCCAAAGGCTGTGTCCTGGAGACTGTGGGACAGAGTAAAGGAGATGGGGCAAGGAAGGCATTAGACAGAACAAAGGAGCCGTGATGAGACTGTGCGACAGAGACAGGCAGGCTTCCTGGCCCACAGATGCAGAAGCCAAGAGGCCACATGGTTGAGAGGCTGAGGACTGAAGAGGTGTTGCTGGGGACCAATGACTGTATCCTTACTGCTTACTGATCTAGACCTGCGGTTACTTATTAACTTTCCTAAAAAAACAAAAAAACAAATACCCACTGTGAGCTGTATCGGTGAGTTTTATGTGGCTGCGGCAATGAATTATTGACCCCAGCATACAAGTGGGTGGAATGACTGGTGTCAGAATAAGTAACAGATTAGATGCAGGGAATGAAAGAATGAGGGGAATGAGGGAAATGGAGGGTGGAGGCTTGTCTGATGCTTGCTTCCTAGCAACAGAGAAGCCGCAGGTGGTCAGATATGGCCCCATGTAGTTTCCTGCAGCCATCCTTGATCACCTGATTTGTTTGTCCTCTGTTATGTGGGGCATTTCTACATGCTTCTATTGTTCCACTTATCACTGTACAGTAATTACTTGTTGACAAATAAGCACAGAAAACAGAGACCTCATTCCATTCCCGTTGGTCTTCTTTAGTGTTAACACTATAGTTTCAATGCAGGATACAGTAAGCACTCACAGTGGTCAACTAAATTGAAGGAACTCATCAAGTTTATAAAGTAACTCAGGGCAAATATTACACTAACAATTAAAAACAAAAAACTTATGGAACATTTCCAAAACAATGACGTAGATGATAATTACAACTTCTAAATCCAGGGGAAGGAAAATAATCAAGAATTGCAAATCAAAATTACAGTATATACATTGCATCTAATAGGATAGCTATTAAAAAAAAAAAGAAAAGAAGGCGTGTGGAGAGAAGAGAGGAAGTAAAACCCTGGCCTGTCGCCGATAGGAATGTACGATGGTAGCAGCTGCCACGGCAAGGCTTGGTCGTTCCTCAAATCATTACACATAAAACTATACAGCAACCCTCCCAAGCACATACCTCAAAGAACTGAAAACAGGTGTTCAAACGGTAACTTGTACATGAAAGTTCATAGCAGCAGGACTGTCAACAGTCCCGAGATAGAAACAACGCAAACTTTCATCAAGTGATGGAGAAACAAAATGTGCCTTATAGCCATAGAACAGGATGCGATGGTGGCCCTAAGGAATGCAGTACTAATACCTACAGCACAAATCAACCTTGGAAACATCATGGGGTTTTTTTAAGTCAGAGAAGCCAGTCACAAAACACTACATATTGTATGATTCTACTTCTATAAAATACCCAGAATTGAATAAATAAATAAAATATCCAGATGAGGCAAATCCATAAAAAGCAGATTAACAGCGATCAGGAGGGAGCTGGGAAGAGAAGAGAAGAGAGCATGTGTCCTCATGAGAATGGGGTTTCCATTGGGGCTAATGAAAAGGCTCCGGAACTAGAGGACTCGGTTGCAAAGCACTGTGAGTGGCATGTATCACTGATCACAGAATTGCACTGCTTTAAATGGTCAAAAGAGTGGACGTTTATGCTCTGTGTAGTTTATCACAACAAAAAGAAAAACAAAACCTCAAACTCATTGCCATCCAGTCGATGCTGACGCATGGCCACTGAGTAAGACAGGGCAGAACTGCCCCTGCGGGTTTCAGAGACTGGTCACTCTCTATCTGAGTGAAAAGCCTCCTCTTTCTCCCTCAAAATGGCTGGTGGCTTCGAACCACTGACCTTTTGGTTAGCAGCCCAACTCATAACCCACCATGGCATCAGGGCTCCTGAAAATGAACACACAATTAGGCTTCTTTCAAAAAGTCCTTTTTCTCATCACTTCTGTAAACTATTAGGTTTGTAGAGGCAAGAAAGGATTATTGTGTTAATAGTGAGAAGAAAAAGAAAATGTTAATTGAGTCCAGAATGCCTACATTATTTGTCCTCTTAATGGCTACCATTATGACTGTCTACCCATATAAAGATCATGATCTAAATTTCCTACTAGACGACGCACACAGAGTGCTGCCCTGGGACTACGGCCACACAGTGCAGCATTCAGGCACTTTAAAAGTCTGACCAGAGGGGAGGCAGCAGCAAAGTACTTACCAGCAGACAGTGGGCAAAGTCAGGACCTCCCACAAGGCCAGTGAAGTTTCCCAGCTGCTCAGCCAGAGCTAGCAGTACCTCATCTTCATCGTAGATGGTGTCTGCACAAGACAACATGGAACTCATCAACAAGGAAAGCTGTCCAGAGCTGGGCACACATGATGAAACAGTCAGTACACAACAAACAGGGCGCCCTGGTGATGCGGTGGTTAAGCACCTGGCCATTAACCACAGCTTCCAGTTCTGACACGCCACCCCCACCCCCACCCCAGTCACTCCTTGGGGAACAGATGTGGCCATGTACTACTGTAATGGAAGAACACAGCCTTGGAACCAGATGGGCAGTGAGTTCTCTCCTCCACAGAGTCATTCCAAGTCAGAGTAAACTTCATGACCATGAGTGTTCCGTTTCCCTTTTTAAGATGACCAAGCCACCATCCTCCCAGGGTTTCTCTGCCTTCTCAAGCCAGTCTCCCTAACACTGTTTTACAAAGTGAATCTGGACTTAGTACTCCCACCTGTTTCAACTACTTTCCTATTAGTTATAATCTGAATATGTCTGGATTCAATAACACTATCTGGATTCAGTAATAATTCAAAAATACAATATACTTTAAAAAAAATAACAAACCCTAAGAAAAGTCAAAGCTTTGAAAAGCCAATGGAAAATGCCTTTCAACACACACACACACACACACACCCTTTAAAGGAAGATTCACGTACCAGTAAGGAATGGTAGCAGCTCAGTTCTAGTTCTTTCTACTCCAAGTGCAAGAGCGATCGTTGATAACTTCTTAATACTGTTGAGACGGAGCTTTAAAAAAGAAAAGTGATGATACCAACTAAAGCAACAGTTGCTATCTGAACGAAAATGCCAAATGGAGATTGTAAACAGGGGAGTACAAGGAGCTCACTGGTGAGAAAGTGGCAACCCTGGCGATTTGATCCCCTAGGGAAAGCCGGGGAGCAAGAGTGTGAACCCAGCCAGAGAAGCATTTCCGGGGAGCAGCGGCCAGAAAGGCCCAGCCGAGAGGTGAGTGAAAGAGAAGACAAAAGCCAGGAAGTGAAGTGAACTTTTAAAGGAGCGGGGGCTCCGGCGGGGGTAAATGTTCCAGGCCCTTCCCAGGGAGGCTCCGCCACGGGGCACCGGCTCCCCTGGGTCAATCAGCCACCCGGCCCTGGCTCGAACCAACCAGCCCGACCAGTTTCCAGCCGGGCGGGGAGGAGGGCGCTCAGTTCGCCAGCACTTCAAAGGGCGCCCAGGCACCCGGCGCCCCGTAGCCGCTCGGGGACACCCCCACGCCCGGACTCGCCCGCCCACCAGCGAGCACGGCGGCCCGGCGTTCCCCACCGCACGGCCCGGAAGAGGCAGCCGGCCGGGAGCCGGTTCTCCAACAACCGCCCGGGCGGCGTCGGGCGCTGGGCCGACGCGTCTCCGGGGGTCGGGGGAGAGGGTGCTGGAGGTCCCGAGGGTCGGGCAGTGACCCCACAACCTCTCTCCGATCTTCCCACGTCCGCGCCCCTCCAGTCAAGGGTGGTCTCCGAGCCGGGACCTTTGAATGCCTGGGCCTCCCCTCCGGCGGCGCCGGCCTTCCCAGTCACGCGCCCGGCCAGGCCCGCCTCAGCCGCCCGGACGAGCCCAGTACCTGCACGTCCTCATTGCGGAGCTCATCGATTAACACCGCGATCGGGTACAGCGAATCATCGCCATCGCCCCCCGCTGC